GGAAACTTGAGAAATGATCAAACAAGGATATGAAGAATAAGTAAGCTGTGAAAAAGATAAGAGGATGAGGGCTGGGAGGGATAAGAAATGGTGGGATTGTTCGGAGGTGATAGGAAAAGTACTTGAGGTAGTGGGAGTCATAGGTTTGTACTACCTGGATATATAGACTGGGGAAGTACCCCATCTCCAAATGAAGTTGACAAGAAGCTTCTTGCTCCTGAGCCCAGTATGTAAGAAGGAGACTTAGAGATGAAAATGAGAATTTAACAGACAGCCTTAGAGCTGAATTTGAGCCCTGTATATACCACTGTAGAGCTACTAAGAGGCAGGGAGAGCAGGAGTAGGTTAGGAGCCCCTGGCCCAGCTCCTAAAATATCTGCATTGAAGGCATAAACTCGGAACATGATGATTTGCAGGTCACATCAGGGCCAGGGAGTTGTCCTGGCAGTGCTGCAGCTGAAGTTGGACATACTTAGGTAAAATCTAATCAGTAGTTTTTCTAGGTTGGTCTAGTCCAGACTGACCCAAGATGGAAAGAAAGCAGATTTCAATGTCCATAGAAATTAAATAAATAAATAAATAACATGCCAAAGGGCAGGAAAACCCAGAAACAAAAATCTTATAAATTAGTCCTGTAAATTGCAATGTGGAAGTGAATATGAGTTCTGAAAGGGGATTCCAAGTGAGGACAAGCTCTAGCAGGTCTTACTATGCTGCAAAGACTGAGTAAATATTTGGAGAAGGGACTATGTGTCTGTCAAATGTTCAGAAAGGTTTGTCACAGGAAAGTAGTTACCTGATGATAAATATTTTTGGCCACAGCACTCATGAAATTACTAAGGTGTAAAGAGGTTATGATTTGCAATAGTAAAGGGATTACTTATGCTTAGAAAATCACAAGAAGGATCTTTTGATGTGCTGAAGAAACTGAGGAAGAAAATAGATTTCATAGCTCAGGCACTTCCAAAAGTGGATCTTGGGGATAAGACAAAGTGGGATGGATGCTAGATGTGGAAATGCTTCAGGAAATCCTTAGGGATCTTGGTATACATGGGCTGGGAGAGTCTAGGCATTGGGGTGGAGGAGGCTGGCCTGCAGACACTTTTTTTTTGGCTAGGCCATGGGGTTAAGTGACTTGCCCAGGGTCACACAGCTAATAAGTGTTATGTGTCTGAGGCCACATTTGAACTCAGGTCCTCCTGAATCCAGGGCCAGTTCTCTATCCACTTCGTCACCTACAGATACAATAGGGTGGAAGGAAGGACCGTCTGAGAGACTTCAGGGATCAATCTGGGCACTGTAGAGTGGTATGAGGGGCCTAAAGAGGGAGGCTAAATAGAAGTTGGGTCAGGGTCACTTTGGAAAAGACACTGTCTTCATGAGGAGAAAGAGAAAGAAGTTATGGTTAGGATTCAAATGTATGTCTAGCTAGAAGGGACTTAATCTAAATGACATATTGTGTCAGTTCAAAGGTAATGATAATAGTAGATCACACTGATATAGTGGTACAAAGTATCCAAAGTGCTTTTCTCACAATCCTGTGGGGTAGGTAGGGAACTATTATCTTAATTTTACACATGAGTATATGGTTTGGAGCGACTGATGGTCTTGGAATCTTGGAGACCAGGCTTTGCTATTTACTGGCTTTGTCGCCTTCGGCAAATCAACCCCCCTCTCTGCTTCAGTTTCCTCATATGTAAAATGAGGGGAGATAATATTTCATTAAATCAGAAATTAATTTGATGTTTGGGATCAATAGAGACTTTAGAGATTAAGCAGATTAATTTCTGGTTTTAGATTTTTTCATAGAATGGGCATTTTCTGGATGTTTTAAATACTGACTCAAGAAAAAATATATATGTGTATATATGTGTTTGTATATGTGTATATATTTACACACACACACACACACACACACACACACACACATGGAATTTGTAGAGGGGAGGTTCTTGGATTTTGTTTAGGTATTTGTCTCAATTCAGCTCTCCAACTGAAAATGGAGCAGGGGACAGGGAAGGTAGCCCTGGTGAGATACATAGCAAGATGAGAAGGAAAGCTTTGAAAAGGGTGAGAACAGATACTAAAGTTTTTATCTCCTTTGCCCTTAACTTGACAGCGATTCCCAAGTAAAGAGGACCATTGGTTATAAAAGGACTCTGAAAGTAGAGTTACTGAGGGAATCCTGTGGTGGTTAGAGGACCTTCCCCTATCCTGACCACTCAAATTCTGGACACGAGTTGAACATTTCTATTCAGGGTTTGAGTCTGGGGACTACAAGATTTCTAAAGTGTTTCTCTGGTTTGTGTTAGGAAAACACTAGATGCTAATATTTGGAGCAAAGGGTTCAGAGTTCTACTGAACCTTTACCTCTAGCAACTAGGAGGGGCCAGGTAGGTGTATCCTTCCTGGGAGACACAGATTCTAGGAGAGCCGGAGAGAAGTAGGAACTCATTCAGCCAAGGTAGGATGAACCCTTTGCAGAGCTAATAAGCCTCATGGCCCCTACTGCATGTGTTTATACAAATCAAGACTCCATGGGAATGTTTTTATAGTCTGAAGGTTTGATTTGGAGAGAGGTAGGAGTTGGTGACCTTTAAATTCTTCACGAGTAATTTTTCTACTGTTTAGTAATTCTAATAATTTTGTATGTATGTGTGTGTGTGTACATGCTTACTATGTGGAATGTGTACAGACACTTGAAGCATACTACTGTTTCTAAGTTTATTATGTTAGAATAGGGTAGGGAACCTGGGACCTAGAGACTACATGTGGCCCTCTAGGACCTCAAGTGCGGCCCTCTGACTGAATCCAAACTTTATAGAACACCTCTGTGTTAGAAGATACTGTGTATGTTCGGTGAGTTTGCAGGAATGTTGTCTACCTGCTACGTGTCAAGTTCCTGGGTACGTTCTTTGTGTATAACTGTTCATATCCATATTCTGTGTTAGATAAGTACATATGACAAGCCTACTGGGGGGAGGTGTATTGTGTTTGTGCAGGCAAGACAGTTCCATGCTAACATGTTAGCTGGATAGATGGTTGGGCAGCGGTTAGAGAAGTCTGAGCTGAAGTGACATGGGTGGGGAGAGATAGAGGATTAATGTACAAGTAGAATGAGTGAGCTTAGGACTCTGACAGCATGCACTCATCAAACATAATTGGTTTGGGGTACATGCAGAGAAAAGTGGAACAGAAATGAAGGGAGTTTGGGCACTTCAGGTGGATGAATGGTGTGATGCAAAAAGCAAGTATATCTATGGGGACAGCATACATATATATTGTCAGCTGTATGAGCAAGGTCCCTGTACAGTGGTACAGTATGTACAGGCTTTGTGGAAAGAAATAGAGCAATATCACTTTTCAAAGTAGTCTTTCTAAATATTACTGTGTTGGCAGTCCTCTATATAGTAGATGTTTAATGAATAAAAATTTAATGAATAAACTGTCATAGGGAATGGAATTACATTCTATCAACCTTCATGTAGAAAGGAAAGGAATTGTTATCCCCATTTTGCAGGTTAGGAAATTGACATTCAGAACAATCACGTGACTTGCTCTGCTCACACTAAGTTAGTGACAGAGCCAAAATAACATCGTAGGGGCCTAATGAACCTCAGGACTACAGGTGCTTTTGTGTCTCGGGTAGGGAATAGAGACCATAGTTTAGGGTCTCTGCACAGAAAAGGGTCCCTACTATGAGTATACAAAGGTGCAGCAGTGGATAAAAAGTAGGAACAGTTGTGTGAATTGATAGATTTAGTGAAACAAGAGAAAGCAGTATAGTGTAGAGGAAGTAAGGAGACTTGGGCATGAATCTCAGCTCCCATATTTACTTGCTGTGTGACCTTGAATAAGTCACTTAATTACTCTAAGTCTCAGTTTCTTAATCTGTAAAATGGAAATAATATTTACTTATTTCACAGGATTGTTATGAGGAAAACACTTTGTAAAAGCTTAAAACACTATTTAAATGTGAACTATTATCATTAACAGAGGAGGGGGATTCTGGAGAATTGGGACTAAGTGGGACAGAATTAGTTAAGTCAGGAGAGGAAGAAGATGGTGTACAAGTCACAAGAGGGTGAGAACATTTGGGGCAAGGACAAGGAAATTGGAGACAAAGCGGTAGGAAGAAAATGAACAGGCTTTTTGCCCTGTCAAAAACTGTGAGGATAGGACAGTAAGGGGAGGCCAATGTCTTAAACAGATACTAAGAACACAGCAATGAACTGGCACACGCTAGCCATCGTTTTTCACTGGGAAAGGAAGGCCTGCTAGGAGAAATGTTTGAAAATGGTCAACCACCCGTGGGATGTTCATCAAAGAGTAGATTAAAACTTTGGAATAGAGGGCCCTGGTAGAAATGGAGTCAGTTTATAGGTGCTTTAGTGGCCTAAGTGGGTAAGGAGTGTTAATGGTGGAAACCAATGCTAAAATCTGAGTGACAGTAGGAGGTGTGACAGGCAGGGGAAATAAATGCTACAATATTGGTTCATATTTAATTTCAAGTACGTAAATTATTTTCTCATTTTCCCAGTCTTCTTGGTAGTGTGTCTATGATCTGTGGTTAGAAACAGGCAAGGAAAGATGAGAAAACTACACACTGATGTAAAGGATTTCACAAAGGAACTCCCAGTTTCATTCCTAATTTTTCCTATATCCAATTGAAAACCCAGTACTATAAAGGCATGGCTTGGTAAAACCAAGCAGGCAGAGAATGAACAGGTACTTCAAAATGAGAGAATTTGGAGGGAGAAGTTAGGATGAGGGATAGGGGAGTGGACAATAAAAGCTCTTGGTTCTATGGTTCCACAATCCCTCTAGGTACACCCACCCACAATTTAGGCAGTTTCTCTGCCTTGGGAATGTTAACAGTACTTAAAGGCATTTGGGGGAAAATAGAGAGAAACAACATTCCAAAAGAGTAGATTCTTTAAAATAAAAAACCCCAAACAAAAAACCCTAGTTACAAATTAAAATGCTAAAAACAAAACAAGTCAGTATTTACATGTAATATTTTAAACCCCTTTAAAAACCCACTGTCCAGGTTTCCAATAGAACAATAAATGATCATGTACAACTGCATGCAAGAAATAGAAAAGAGTGTTACACTAAAAATCAGATTCCAAAGCCTCTCTCTTTTGGAGGAGGAAGGAGTTGTTACTTGGAGCAGGGCTGGCAGAGGAGAGGGGCTAAGGCTTCTCTCTTCCCATGCTCCTTGGGATGGTAAGGCAAATTGGCTGGGATTGGTAATCCTTTATTCTCAGGTCTCCATCTCTTCATGGAGTTGGTGGGGGTTTCCTGGTGACATTTTGAGAGCAGTGGAGCCCCACACCCCACCCCCACCAAGGGCCAAGTAGTCCCAAATGGTATCTGGATACCCTTGGGTCTTGTGCCACCTGAGGGGGGTCGGTATAGAAGGCATCTGGTGTCTTTCCACCTGCAGTGCTTCACCCCCAAATTAATAGTCAACCCAGCAACAGTGCAATGGAATGGTAAAAACTCCTCACTTGATCCAGGCCTCATCCCATGATGTCTATTGCATTCTCTTATTCTGTGTATTAGGATTTGGATTTTGCCCCAAAGGATCCCTTTTGATTTCCAGGGTACGAGTCCTCTCTGAGATGGCAGTATTTCTCCATACAACATGCCCTCCCTGCCACTTAATGTGGAACACTGAACCTTTCCAACATCATTTCAGACCACAGCATGAGGAACAAGTTAATAACATTAACATCGCCAACATTCAGCCAAAAGGGAATAGAGACTAATGACTTTAGATAACTTACTAGAAAACACTCAGTAGGGTTGAGCAGTATTACGTGGGGTTCAGATGAACATTTTCAAGTCTATTTAGATGCTCAGGTGAAATGAAACAAAATGTTGCTCCAAGATGGAAAGCTTATCACATCTGAGTTTACTGCTTTCTTAGTTCTTTCTTTGCAGTTTAAGTCAGGTGGCAAATTTCACAACCACTCTGGGTCACAATCAGGAAGAGCAGAGCTCCCTGTGTGTGTTTGTGTGTGTGCACCAGAACTAAGGTAAACAGGGTACATTGGCACCAGGTGCTCCCCACAGAGGGATCACATTAGAGACTGACTCCTTTCAGCTATCCTGGGCAGTCTATCTAACAACTCAGCTGGAAAGTTAATAATGTTGCATCCTGCCCTCTGTCAGATCTTGAAGGATGACAGAAGGGCTTGGACTGCTGCTCGATGTGAGCATTAGAGCACATTTCCAAGCTGGCCTCATAACCAGCAGGGGCAAATGAAAGTAAACAAGGCTGCTCTCCTTCTCAAGAGTCTGGTTAGGGTGGCCAGTTAAGGCTGCCAGAAATCCCCTGAAAAGTAGCCTCCCCCAAATGAGACTCAGTGGCTCCTAGAAGCCTATTTTGCACAGGTAAAATGACATTGAGCCACTTCCTACCATCTTGGGGATTTCTGACCCATTAGTTAAGGAAACTTGGGACTGATCACATAGATGGAGACGAGCTGTAGTGGAAGATCGCTTGAAAGGAGTGAAATGACTAAGGTGAGTAGGAAGTTAGAAAAAATGGATAGATTAGTATGTGACTAGGGGAAGATCCTTAGGAGGCAGTGAATGTGCTACTAGACATTAAGGCTAAGTATGGACAGGCTGGTGAAAATTTAGGGAGGTTAGTAGACATTTTAAAATCTATGTGCAAAGCTGCATTAAACACTCTCTAGATTCAGTCTAGTTTTCCACTGAGTATACTGGCTGAGAATCTCAGGGATCACCAAGCTTGGCTGAGGCTCAAGGACCTATGTTTGGCTCATAAAAAAGTGGAAGGGGAAATAGAAAATTGAAATGGGAAATGTATGGGAAATGGTGGAATCAGCCCAATCCTCACATCCCTGTCAATAGGAACTCAGGAAGGGGACACTAGGATGTAAGATCCAGTACAACTGTTGCCTGTGAGTAAGAATCTGGGTTCTGAATCCAAAGCAATTAATTCACATCATTTGGAATTTGAGCATTCTGGGATTCTAGCTGTGCAAAGTAGGTGTCTGGATGTGGATAAGGAAACCAATGTTCAATTGCTGAACTGCCTTGTATCCCCCTCAACTTCCCTAACATTTCAACATTTCAATGGGAACACTATGTTTCCCTGTGTCCTGATGAACAGGATACCTCTCAATCCTCAATAAATTACTCTAGGGATCTGGGGATGAATTAAATTATTAAAATAATATAAACTACCTTAAATATTTATAGTCAGGAAAATTCAACAGTATCATGTGTCAGGGCCTTAGCAGGAGGCTCTAGAGTCTTTCTGCCCCATAGTCCAGGAGACAGCAGGTTCGCTAACTCCTCTATGGCTAGATCAACTAAACTGTCCACCAAGGTTGTTTAGCAGGAATGTCTTTGCTTTTGACTGCTCGACGTAAACATAGTATTGAGGCTGCTACTGCTGTAGCACATCTGAAGAAAGAGCAAGGATTTAAGCCAATGATATCCAAATGCTTCAAAAACAAAATCTCTGCTAGATTGGTGGCTCCCTGGCTTCTCTTAAGTGTACCCAGATCCCGAGGCCTACATTCCCTGCCCCTAGCTCCCACAAGTCTGGTATTGGTTTTTTTTTTTACATCATTGTTGGACATGAGCTGCCAAAGATGGGGGATGTAAAACCCCTTATTTCTAAGACATGAAGATCCAGACTCTTGGAGGTGGCTGGCTACCCTATCATATTCCATGGAGAGTCACAGAAATCCAGGGCAGCAAGAGCCGGAGGCTAAGAAATGTGAGAGAAAAAGGAAGGGATTATGCTGGGCCTCAGAGAAAAAGCCCAAGTCTAGTTCATCATTATGTAGTATTGCCAGGGCCTATCAAAAACTTCATTGGGTTGTCTTAAGAGATGGATCATGTCTTCTCCACACTGGGTGTTTGAACTGCAATGCATGGTAATGGAGATATACAGTGTCATCGATTTGGTACAACCAGATTTCTTGTTAAAGCTCCTGGCCTTTTACCCCACGTTTAGCCAGGCACTGCCAATGCCTCCTGGCTTTGCTACTGTTTAAAAGGAATCTTCCTGGTGCTGTAGAAGATTACAGGGTAAAAGCATCCCTCTGAAGAGTTTAAGGTTTAAGACTTAGGCTGTTGAAATCTCTTCTCAAAACCACATCAGTTATAGCTGTACTGTGGCTGCCTATTTGGGGTGTCTGTAGTCCCCAAAGGATACCTCCCCTATTAGGCATCCTAAGAAAAAAATTGAGCAAAAAGTTCTGCTACTCCCTTAGCACCCAAGAAGAGGCTCTCAGAGAAGATCCCTAGTAGCGATGCTCCAGCACTCAACTTTGATCTCTCTCCCATTCCCTGTCTTCTCATCTGAAGGTTGGAGGTCATTATGCTGATCAGCAGATGATATTCCTGTTGCTTGATGCAAAAGGGATCTCTTGCTTTTCTTCCCCTTGGAACCTATTCCATAGGTTTCCAGGCTTTGATGCAACATCTGCTTCTTAAATACTCCTTCCAATGCAAGGTGGTGTTTAGGAGACAGATGTACAGGCTGCTGGACCCCCTCTGGGCCCTGTTGCCTCATATCGGCTGATCCAGATCTGCTCAATGGGTCACTAGAGATTTGGCTTCTCACAATGACTGTTGGCTGAGGGGTGGGATGGGACAAGGGGGAGCACTGCTGTTCTGCTCCTTGGCAGCATGATCATTCACTGGAAGAAGCTGTTCTCTCTTCCCCTCCCCGGATGGTTTCTGGGGGATGTAGTCTGCATTTAGAGGGAGAGTGTCTGGTGATGGATCGGGAAGGCCGAGCAAAGCAAGAGGTCAGAGACTGGGCACTGCAGTCACACATGGCATCCTGTGGAAGGGGAGGTAAGACAGTTAGCTATAATAAAGAAATGAGCCTCAATATACTGATCACAGGAAGATGGGCAGACTGGCAACCAGCATCAACCTGTGACTAGGAGCTCTAAGACACACTAATGTCAATAAGAAGTCTGAAAACACTGACTTTTAAAAATAATATTCTAGGAAAGTTAAATGTTTGTTGAACAGAGAAGACATAGTATATGAAAAAATTATAAATATGTTACAAGGATGAAAATGGACTTGTTCACCAAATCCTAGATATGAGAATTAGGTCCCTATTAAAATTTGAAGGATGTAAGTTTAGGATAGTACAGAGAAAAACTTATGGAACTGATTACTCCAGATATTGGTACAAGCTAGAAATATAAATATATTTTACAAAAAAGTTCAGCGAAACTACTCCTGAATGACAACTATGCCAGAACTCAAAAAAGCCATTAAGAAAATGAGAAGTTTCTTTCTTTTGGCAGGGAGCTAGGGAAGAAAGTTTAACATCAAGGAAGAAAATTGTGCATTTCCACAAAATATCCCTTAGGACCCTGGGTGGAGAAAGCCCATCTTGGGCTAGATGGATCATCGAATTAGAACAGTGTGATAATTTCCATGTTCCTACATTCTAAGAACATCTGTTGTCACTGTATAGGGATATCTTTTTAAAAAGTTCATCTAGAATGTCAAAAATTTCTGATTACATTTATCGCCTTCTCTGTGTACCCTAAATCTTGGGAGATATCGTCAAGGCTGACCTGCTCAGATCCTTTGGGAAGTGGCACAGTTGCTCCTTGTGTATTTCAGATATTATTAATGTAAAAATCAGATCAGCCATCAAAAAAAGGAATGTAGAAGTAAAGGTTATGGATTGGGCTTGTAAGGCAATTAGAAATAGGATTCTTAAAAGAGTACATAGAATTTAGAGGTGAGTGGAGAATTTGAGGGAGACTGTTGAAGGGAAAAATGTATGTCGAGTTTATGAGATTGACACATTGCCTGCTATTCTAAGGCAGCACCTATATTCCACATCAGTAGATTGTTAGTGGAGCTGTGAATTGGTCTAGCTCTTCTTTGAGATTCTTGAACTTTTTGTCTTCCAGATGAATTTCATTATAATTTTTCCTATCTCCAAAAAGTAATCATTTGGTAGTTTAGTATGGCATTGAATAAGTAAATTAATTTAGGGAGTAATGCCATTTTTTAACAAAACGCCAGAACCTACTCATGAGCAAATATTTCTCTAATTATTTAGATCTATGTTTAAGGTAAGAGTGATTTATAGCTGTATTCCTAGAGTTCCTGTGTGTCTTGGTTGGTAGACTCCCAAGTACATCCTTTAGTTATTTAATACCCTATAACTTTGCTAACGTTAATTTCATTTAACTTTTAGTTTACTCTCTAGTATATTCTTTAAGTACACCATCATATCTGCAAAAAGTAATAATTTGTTCCTTTTTTCCTATGCTTATTCTCTTTTTCTTATTGCCATGGTGTGCATTTCTTGCATGATATCAAATAGTAGTGGTGACAATAAACATTTTTGCTTTACCCTGTTTTTATCAGAAAGGCCAAAAGCTTATCCCCATCATTTATCCCCATATATGCTAGCTCTTGGTTTTTAGCTAGATTCTACTTACTATGTTAAGGAAGGTCCATTTATTCCTCTGTTTTCTGGTGTGGGTTTTTTAATAACAGAAAAAGGTGTGGTAGTTTATTTAAAAAAACACTTTTTCTCCATCTGTTGATATAATCACACATTTTTGTTTGGTTGTTTTGGTTATTTATTCTAGTGATTTGGAACTATTGTTAAAAAGTCACTAAATTATGAATACACAGTGATACCACTGCTCAGTGTATATCCCAAAGAGATCAAAAAGGAATAGGACCCAAATGTATAAAAATATTTATAGCAGCTCTTTTTATTATAGAAAAGAATTGGAAACTAAAGAGTGCCTATAAATTGGAGGATGACTGAAAAAAATATGATATATGAATGTAATATAATGTATTGTGCTTTAAGAAATGTCAAAAAAAAAGTTTGAGAGGAACCTGGGAAAATTTGTATAAACTCAAATGCAGAGTGAAATGAACAGAGCCAGTAGAACAACTTATAAAAACAATATGATTTTTTAAAAAAAAAACAACTTAAAAAGACATAACTTTGATGAAAGCAATGACCAAGTGTAACTTCAGGGGACAGATGATGATGTATGCCACTCACTTTCTGACAGAGAAGTGACAGACATCAAGATACAGAATGAGACATATTTTTTGGACATGAACAACATGGGAATTTGTTTTCTTTGCCTAAATATATTTGTTACAAGGCCTTTTTTTTTCTTTTTTCCTCCCATATGAGATAGGAGAGAAGATAAATGCTTGCTAATTGAAAAGAAGAAAAAAAAAGAAAGTCCTGTATTTCCATGATAGAAAAGGATCATAGAATCACAGAATGATATACCTAGAAGGAAACATAGAGGTATAACCTTATTCACCAGAATGAATACTGTGGCCCAGGGAGAGAAAAGGATTTGGTCAGGGTCATCCAGCAAGTTAACAGAGTGATCTCTACTTTTTACTAGTAATTCATGTGAGGACAGACAATATGGCTAGAAAAAACCTATAAAGTATTGTTAAAGATTAAAAAACCTTGACAAAATGGTGTTTTCATCACAGATACCCACTGAAAGCAAGGTATGCAGAAGAGAAAAGCAGATTTAGAAAGTGAGTAGTTGGTTATCATGCCAGAAAATAGGGATGTGGATTTCTGCACCACAGCTTAAAATATAGGAATGACAGGTTCCTGTCTAGGCTTGCAGCTAGTAAAAGGCTAATAAAAGTAAAGGCTAGATGTTTGCAAATTTAATAGAAAGGGCTTTAAACTGAAGTGAAAGCAGGAGACAGAAAATTTTGCCTGTATTTTCACTAAGCACTGGAGACACTCAGAAGTTTATAAACTTGTGATAAAGTCCAAGTAAGGAAACTCCAATGCATACTGGTAATTTTTCTGCAATTTATAGTCTTTGAGAATTGCCTGGGGGACTGAGAGGTTAATTAAAGGGTTCCAGGGTTACGTAACCAGTGTGATGCTAGAGCTAGTTTTCTCTCCATTCTGACACGTGGCCTCTGTTTTTAAAAGCTAATAATATGGATAAAAAAGGGGTATGGGGGGGAAACAAAGGAGGCATTGGACCACAGCTTGAAGTGCCTACGACAATAGGTACTTAAGATAATGGTGACAGACATGTCAGAACTACCCAACTTTTGCTGCTGCTTCTTTTAAGAATGATATTTGGACTAGAAATGACAGAACAAAAATAGTTAATAGAGAATTGATATACATAATAAGTAAGTGGGTAGGAAGAGACTAACTAGGTTTCCTTAATAATTTAAAGTCAACAGATCTGATACTGGGCTAGGCACTGGGGATACAAATGCAATGAAATGATGCATGAAATGAGCATCCTCAGTTACATAAAAAATTGGTATACAATTGTCAAGTAACTTACAATGATCTTTGAAGGGAAAAGGTACTGCAGGATTTGAGATGGAAAAAATGTCTCATTTTTCAAAATGGAGAAGATTGTCTATGAACTTAAGGCCAATAAGTGTGGTTCTGATTCCTGGAAAAACTCTAGGACAACGGTTCTTAACCTAGGGTCCATGAACTTGTTTTTTAAAATATTTTGATAACAGTATAATTGGTTTCCTTTGTTATTTTATTATTTAAATTTATTATTATTTTATTTATATTATTTATCATTAAATTTATTATTTAAAAACATTATTCTGAGAATACTTCACCAAACTTTCAATGGGATAAATTATACAAAAAAATGTTAAGAAAACAGACATTCAGTAAACACCTATAAAAGGAATGGGTAATCACAAAGAATCAGAATGGTTTCAGCAAGAATAGGCCTTATCAGAATAACTATTTCTTTTTTTTATATGGTGTCACTAAACTGGTAGAGATCAGAGGAATACTATAGATAAGAGTTTATCCAGATTTTAGCAATGCATTTGATAGTCTCTCATGCTATTGTAGAAAACATGGAAAAAATGTGAGTTTGATGATAGCACAATTAGTGGATTTGGTGGTCAGATATAAATTTGATTCCAGACTGAAGGAAAATCTACTGGAGTGCCTCAGGATATATGTTTGGGCCTATACTATTTTAGTAAACTTTTCAATGAATGACTTGGAAAATTTCAATTCAATTCAGTAAGCATTTACATAGCAGGGAACTGTGCTAAGTCCTGGACATATAAAGAAAAAATGAAACAGTTCCTCAATGAACTTAAATTCTTGTTGGGGATAAAACACATGCACAAATTAGTAAATGTTATCATTTGGAGTGGGAGTGGGGGTTGGGGGGTGGGGGAGGAAATTAGAGGACTCAGATAATGCCTTATATGGGAGGTATAGTACCTGAGCCAAATGTTGAAGGAAGATATTCTAAGAGGCAGAGGTGAGAAGGCCGAACATGCTATGAATGGAGACAGTACAAAAGCATAGGGGAAGATAATGGAATGTTGTATACGTGGAATAGAAAGCAGGCCAGCTGAGTAGAAATGTACAATCAGTGAGGGGGGAATAAAATGAAACAAGTCTGAGAAGGGATCATAAAGGGAATTTAAATGCTAAACAGGAATGTTCCTATTTTTTATCTTAGAGACTATAGGGAATCTCAGAAGCTTCTTTGAAGAGTGGAATGACATGGTCAAACCTGTACTTTAAGAATGTCAAATTGGCAGCTATATGAAGCTATATAGATCAGAGAGGAGACACGATGGGAAAAAATGAGGATTCAAAAAGATATTGACAGACTAGAATACTGGACCAGATTTGATAGAATGGACTTTAACAAGGATAAATGCAAAGTTTGACACGGGTTCAAAAAATCAATTTCACTAGTACAAGATGCTAGAGATGTGGCAAGAGAGCAGTTTACCTTGAAGAGAATCTTAAGAGGCATAGTATCTATCATTGTGTAGGTTGTAATACTGCTATATTCTACTCTAGTTATACCAAATCTAGATTATTGCATTAGTTCCAGGTACCATATTTTAGGGAGCACACTGATAAGCTGGGGAATATCCAAAGCAAGGCAGTCATGATGGTAAAATGCATTAAGATTATGTTATATGAGGACCTGTGGATGTTCAGCCTAGAAAAAAAGATAAGGGGGCATGGATAATAACTGTATTAGAAGGACTATCATGAGGAAAGGGGATTAGGACTGTTCTCTTTGTCCTCCAGAAGGCAGAACTAGGAGTGATGGGTAAAAGATGCAAAAAGACAAATTTAGGGCGCAGCTAGGTGGCACAGTGTATGGAGCTCCAGCCTTGGAGTCAGGAGGACCCGAGTTCAAATCCAGTCTCAGACATTTGACACTTACTAGCTGTGTGACCCTGGGTAAGTCACTTAACTCCAATTGCCTCACCAAAAAAAAAAAAAGCCAAAAAGAAAAACAAATTCAGGCTTGAGAAAAGGAAAAATTTTCTAATAATCAGTGACTCAAAAGTGGAATGGGCTACTTTGGGAGATAGCAGGATTCCCAAGTTCCCCTTTCCCCCAAATCAACCTTGTATGAGACTTCCTCCCCATAAATAGCTTCCCTTTCTGAGTGCCTATTAGGTATTAGTGATGTTTCCCACCAAGAATGAGAATAAGAATATATTGGTCTTTTGGAAGGGATGAGGTGTAGGGCACTAAAAGGAAGGAAATGGAAACAGAGAAGTAAGACGCACAATCTCAGTTTTAAAACAAGGACTCCTAGCATGGCAATACTCCATCCTACCCTGCCTTAGTTCTCACAGGAAGGGAAAGAACCCACATACCTACCTCATTAGCCACAGTCAAAATGCCATCTGGATCTCGAGGGGTTCCATCCTTACCCCCCTGGGAGAGTAAAGCTGGCCTGACCTCCTCACAACTGCTCAGCTTTGGAGTTTTCTTGCTCAGAATCCTGGCAATGCCTTCAGATTGGTGGTAACTTGCTGGGGAAAGAGGCTCTGGCCTTTTGGTGCACTCATCTCCCACTACTTCTTTCCGATCTGTCCCAGAAGTGGGACTCTGTGAGCGGCCACACACGTTACGAAAGAACTCCTGTACGATACCATACTTGTGAGTTTCTGGTTTGGTGCGGGTCTCCTGGCTCCCTGGCTTCCAGATAGACTCAGTGCTCCCAGCATGCTCTACTACATTGAACAAACTAGATAGTCCATCATTAATGTTGCTTAAGACTGGGCTGTCTCGGGTCGTGGTGGACCTGGCCCAAGCTGATCCATTTTGCTTACTCTGGTGAAGATTCCACAGACTTCGGTCCTTGGAGCTATCCAGTTTGGACACGGATCTCCTCTGAAGCTTTGGTGACCCATATTTAGGAGAACAACAAGGTCTTTCAATCCGAGAGTGGACCTTCTCCAGTGAAGAAGATATCTGTTTGCTTCGGACAGATACCAGAGAAGAGCTACGGGGTGACCAACTCTTGCCATGCAGGCTTCCCCGAGGCAGGTCAGTTTGAAGACCAATACTCACTGTCTGGATGGTCTGGGTGCCTACACTTGTCAGCCCTACAGTCTGGCTTGACATGCTTTTTACCTTCCTTTCCAGAGAGCCAGAACGGATGGCCTGGCGGACACAGTTGGTAATTTCTTTCATGTCATCACTCATGTTGCCTGACATTTCAAAGTCATGTAGGGCAGAGGGGAAGTTAGGCACAGGAGCTGCAGAACTGCTGACTGGGCTGCTGTCCAAAAGTTCCCGGTGTTTGGAGAAGTTACACAGCCACCGGCCATATGTACTCTCAGCCAAGCCTTCTGACTCTGCTGACTCTTTGGGCTTGGCCATGGTAAAGAGGAAGCCAGGCTCAATGAGAATTTTCCCTTCTTTATTCTGGACCAGAGGGACCCCTAGCCTACGGGCCACAGGTGGGCTGTAGTAAATCCGGATGCCTGTTTTATCAGGAGCCGTGTAGCTCCTCTGCATCTGCTTCTGGGCACAATCCTGGTAGGCCAGGCTGCCTCTCCTGTTGCAGTCTCTAGGGGAGAGCCCCAGCTTCTCTTTGGTCCCCTTTTCTGGGCTGGCCTGCTCATTGTCCACAAAGGCAATTCTCGCAGGGTTCACTGTGGCAGTATCCATCAGGCTACTGGGCAACAGGGAGGCAGCTGGAGAGGTCTTTTTGCCTCGGGAAGTTTCATTGACTATGTTGGCTGATTTTCCAGGAAGGTAAGGAGAACAGTCAAGCAAACTTTCAAACTCAGACATGGAAGAAACAGATTTGGTCCTGGTGGGAGAAGAAGATATGATGAGCACAACAAAACTTAGGCTCATGGATTGGAGATTGTTTTACAGGTGGGAAGAGGAACCTTGAGGACACAGGAGCACAAAACCACAATAAGAAGAGGAACCTCACAGATCATCTCATACGAATGCATCATTTTGCAGATGTGGAAACTGAGGTCCAGAATGAGTGAGTGACTTGCCTAAGGTTAAACAAGGAGTAAGTAGCAGAGCCAGGATTTGAAGCCAGATCCTCTGACTCTTGCTACTGCATCAGGTACCGTGTACAGATGGTGAGGATTCACTGCCTAGTGTATTAAGAAGTCCCTTAGTTTACATTTGAAGATCTCCATAATCTGAATCCACCTCATTTTCACCCCCATTTTCACTGGGAAGACCCCTCATTTAAGCCTCTTAATAACCGTGTGAAGTAAGTTCTATAAGTACTATTATTTTTATTTTGTAGGTGAAGAAACTGATGCTCAGGGAGGTTAAAGTACATGTTCACACAGCTAGTAGGTTATGGAGGTTGGATTGAAATCCAGTTCTTCCTGACTACAAGTCCAGCACTCTACTTTGTCCTCTTTAGTGACCTCCACTCATGCCAGGCTCTTTTCCTCTTCTATGACTTTGCTTATGTTGTCCTTGTAGGGACTTCCCTCCCTGCTCCCACCTGTTTGTTTTCAAGGCCTATCTTAAGGTTCAGTCTCCTTACAGGAAGCTTTTCACTACCTCTCCAGCTCACATAATGGCTTCTGCCTCTCTCTATTGCCCATGAGACTTACTGTTTATGCCAGGGCCTCAAAGAGCCATTTGGGACTGCTTAAGACATATCATGCAGTTCTATAATCATACAAATACAGAATCAAATTAACAAATGTTTATGAAGGGAAAAAAATAGGATAGTTTTAATATAGAAGGATGAGTGTGAGACCACTAAACTATATGCCATAACATTTTTGCATCTGATGATTTTTGACTTAGCACTTTTAGCATTCTGTTAGCTATGAGCAAATAAGACTGTAAACTTCTTAGGCACTGGGACAAACAAGTCATAGTAGGTGGTTATATTATTGAAGGAATGAATTTCAAGACCTACACATTGCTTCCTTTGGCCCCCAAATGTAATGAAAGCGCATGACAAGGAACAAAGCAAAGAGGAATGTAGTTTCTCTTGCTCTCAAAAGCCCCGCTCATTTAAAAAATAAATAAAATTTTTTTAAAAAGCACAAATATTTCTACTGCCCTAGGTTCCTGGATGACTCTTGACTAACCATAGCATGTATAGCATATGAGGCATTAAAAGGAAGGTATGGGTTGGGGGTGGGGGGTAGGTGGTCAGAGCATAGCAAGCCCCAGGGGCCCAGGCCTCCTAACCTCTTCAAGTTGGTTCCATTGGCATCAGCTTCAGAAATGGTCTCTTTGTCATGTATCTTCTCACTGAGGGTCTGGAAGAGGAGAGGAACACTACGGTTTAGTCACCACGGTAGAAGGGAGAAGTGACATGACAAATACAAGATGAATAAACACAGTACTTTTCCTCTGTAACCTCAAAGCACTTTCCTAGGATCATAGCTTTAGAGCTGAAGGGATCTCAGAGGGCATCTAGTTCAGTCTGCTCATTTGACAGAAGAGGAAACCTAGGCCCTGTGAGGTTAAATGATTTGCCCAAGGTTACATAGGAAACAAACATTAGAAATCTCATTAGAGATTTGAACCTGGGTCCTCTGAACACCTTAAAACACCAAAATCTGAGATTGGCTTGGTGCAAAAATTCCTTTCATTTTTATACAACTTCATTCTTTTCACTGCACTCTCACATATGATAGAACATTTTATTCTTATCACAATACCACAGGGTGGAAGGGTTGGGATTATTAACCCAATTTTGGCATGTGGGGAAATAGGGGCTTAGATTAGAGAGATTAAGTAACTTGCCTAAGGTTACGCAGAATTCGATCATCCCCATTTGACAGAAGAGCAAACTGATGCCCAGAATAGGTCAGATGTGTAAGAACACACAAAAGGAGGCATAAGAAATCAGGTCTTCTGGCTTCCAGCTTTTTCCACTTATCTACACAGCTTCATTGTGGCTAATAAAGGCATTATAACAAAGTCTAAACATTGCTTAAGCTGAAAGACTTTCCCACATTAACAATTAATGGAAGAGCTATGGAGGTTTGCCTCTTTTCTATGGAGGCTGGATATCTTTACATGCAGTCATAAAACATTAGAGCTGGAAGGACCACAGAGCTCATTTTTTCCAACTCCCTCATATTCTAGGTGAGGAAACTGAGGCGGAGAGTTTAATGACTTGCCCAAGGGATTTGAACTCAGCTCTTCCACTGCATCCTTATTGTAAGAATCAATATGAAACCTTGAATGTCTCCTTCAAGGTACTGGGATGTGCTTGAACATCTAGATATGGTTAAGACAGTGGGTTTATGCTATGGGTACCCATAGCAGCGCACAGTTTGTTTTGGATGGAGGGCTGCAAATATTCCAGGAAACAGATTTTTCTCTGTCTCCTCCATGCTTTTTTTATGAGCAGTTGCTGTAGCCAACCCTCTCACAAGTCAGCAACCTCTGTCTTCCTTAACCCCCTACTGGTAAGCTAAGAGACCTGGGGTCATCACCTTGGCAAGCTGACTGGCCCAGCTGTTGAGGAAGCTCGACTCACCTCTTTCCAGCTGCTGTCATGCTTTTCCATCTCCATGTGTTTCAAAGCCCAGGATTCAGCTCCCTTTTGCAGCTAGGTAGTAGCAGAGAATGCAAAATTAGCCCCTTTCCAATGCTCAAGGATGGTCACCTGCTTGTCCTCAAAATGATACTTGCTCCTCTCTGCCAGAAACTGAACTTTGCTGCTGACTGTAAGAGAAAACCTTCCCACTGATTTATGAGACAAGAGAATGTGTGTGTGTGTGTGTGTGTAAATAATACCTCATATTTGTGTGGTACTTTTAAGTTTTACAATTTCATTGGATCCTCAAAATCCTGTGAGGAATGGTAGTATAAGTATTATTGGTATATGATAATTGAAAAAATTATATCTTTGATAAGGGAAGTGATTTGCCTTATGAATCCTATGTAGCAGAAGTCACACTTGAATCCTGCCAGGTCTTTTGGCTCCAAGTGCTATGCTTTTTCCACTACACCATCCTAACTTCTCAGCAAGATTAATGGACTTGAGTCAGAAGATATCAGTTTCAGTTTGAGCTCTGCTGCTTGCTACTTATGTGACCTAAGGTATGACAGAATCTCAATGTGGGAAAAGTCCTCAGAGACCATACAATCCAACCCACTCCTGATTAAGAATTACCACTAGTCTAAACATCCCCTAGTAAGTGTTCATCAAACTTTTCTATTATGTCACTTCATTGAATTTCAGTTTTCTCATCTATAAAGTGAGGATATTAACACTAACTTAAGCTTCCTCATAGGAATATTGTGAGGATCAAATGAGACAATGTACATAAAAATATTTTGAAAAAATTGAAGTGAGCAGAACCAGAACACTGTACACAGTAACAGCAATATTGTACAATGATCAACTGTGAATGACTTAGCTATTCTCTGAAATACTATGATCCAAGACAGTTCTGAAGGACTTATGATGAAAAATGCTATCCGCCTCTAGAGAGAGAACTGATGGGATCTGAATGCAGACCAAAGCGTACTATTTTTTACTTTTTTTTTTTCATTTTTTTGGGTCTGTATTTTTTTTCACAACATGACTAATGTGGAAATATGTTTTGCAATGACTGCACATATATAACATATCAAATTGATTGTCTTCTCAATGAGGGGGGAGGTAAAGGATGGAAAAAATTTGGAACTCACCATTTTCAGAAATGAATGTTAAAAGTTGTTTTTACATGTAATTGGAAAAAAATTTAAAAGATGTTTGGCAAAATATAAAGCACTACATGAATGTAAGTTATTATTACTATAAAATCCTAGACTCTTGCTATTATTGGCAAAATCATAAATTTGCAATTTTATCTAATTTCTTTTTAAATTTTTTTTAGTGAACAAAAAAATCTATTCTCTCTCACACTCAGAATGAAATATTTTTATTACTTTCAAAGCACTTTTAATATCTGTTGTTTTATTTGATTCCCAAACCAGTCCTATGAAGTAGATATAGTCGATGTTACTATTACTATTGAAAGATGAAGAAATTGAGGAGTGAGTGAAGAAGAGATTTACTAAGGTCACAAAAGAAGTGACTGGCAGAGCCAGGGCTAGAACTCAGATCTCCTAACTCTTCAGTCTGGTGCTCTGATCTCTTCATCTACATCTTCTTTATGATAAACATGTGACACCTTACAACTGATGTGGATTTTGAATAGCTTTTAGGAGAAAATGTCTCTGTTGAGCTTTAAGGGAAGACAGTGGTGGGGGAGAGCAAGTTTTCTGCTTATATACAGTTAGGATCCATCAGAAGCCCTGGTAACCAAATGAAACCAGTCCTTGGCTCTCTCAAATCCTTTTCCAATTGAATCACAAGAAGAGAATCTCCTCAAGGAGAAGGGGAACAAGTCTCACATCTCTCTAGTGCTGAAGGAAGGACAAATGTAGAACCAAGATCTCAGGTGTCCCGTTTTCTATGAACCCTCACACCTCTTGTCTTACCAGGCAGATGGAAAAAGTTTGATATGTCTTCAAATTATAAAAAGTCTCAGCATAACACAATGGGGGAAAAATCCCAGAAATGAGTACCCATTTCCATTCACTATTTAAGTGGTAGTGTGGTATTGAGGATAGACCACTGGCATCAGAGTTAGCAAAACCTGGGTTCAAATCTTGCCTCAAATATTTATTGAGAGGAGCTGAGAGCTTAGTGAGGGTGAGCCAGTGAAGATGGGTACACAGGTAGCAGCAACCTCAAGTGAATGAAATGCAGCCAGATTTGGGTGAGCCTGAGTCTGGGAATTATGTGGATGCCATGGGTTAGCCAATACTATTTTTTACTTAAAACTTTGGCTTTTGGTTCATGGTTCAACTAAAAAAAAGCCAAAACACCAAAAAAAAAAAACCAACCCACCAACTCAAACTGGTGTGACTTCCTAACAAAGAGGAGATTGGACTCAGTATGTAGAAAGACACATTTTAATCATGGTCAGTGCAGGAATTTGTTTTGATTGATTGTGTATTTGTTATAAGGCTTTTTCTTTTCAGTGGGGACTAAAAGAGAAAAATAAATGGTTTGTTAATTTTAAAAAAATAAAATTTTAAAATAAGAAAACTAGTGTGGTTTGCTCTGTCTTTCATTTGTGCTTGAGTTCAGTTTCCTAGTACTTAACAATGATCATGTGTACCTATTTATCTGTAGGTCTGCATATATATGCCTGTGTATGTCTTTGCATGTGGGCTTCTGTGCATTCTGTGCATGTATATTATGTGAGGCTTTGTGCATAAATAGGAATATTTATGAATGCATGTGCACATGGGTACTGAATGTATCAGTCCACATTCTAGTGTGAGAATGTATATGTGAGTGCATGTAGGCATGCTCCTGGGGACAAGGAAGGCCTCCTTACCTGGCTTATTTTATTCTGTAGCTCTTTCACCTGCTGTTCAGCCTGCTGCTTCTCATCTTTGAACCTATCCAGCAGCTCTATCTTCTGTTGGTCCCAGTTCTTCTCACTGATCTGCAGCTGTTTGGTGAGGTCCATGACTGCACTGTAGGACTCAGCCAGGAGGTGCTGGTGTTCCTCCCTTTCTCTTTTCAGGATGGCCTTCCAGTCAGGCAGGGCCCGCTCACCCACTCCTTTCCCAGGTTTTAGTTCCAGCTGGCAAAACATAAGGCCTGACAGTTTAGGGAGAAGAAATGCAATTGGCCTAGCTCCTTCTCCAATCCCTGGTCTCCTCTAGAATCACTGGATGTCACGGCTCTAAGGGCTCCTAAAGACCACTCAGTTCAAACCCCTCATTTTACAGCCACGGTTGGGGTGGGGGGAAGGCAACTGAAAGTGACTTGACATAATGCTTGTTAATGGCATAACAAAAATAAGATTTTGAACAGAATAAGGCTGATTTTTTACTTAAGATGTTATAAATCTGAAAAGGGAATTTCCCTGCCTGCAATAGGAACAGATGGGCAATGGCTTTCTCCTCTCTATAGCCATGGAGAACTGGGTCAGAGTGGAGTAGGAAGGGGAGAACAAGTCATTATACTTAAAATCTACTTCATCCCTATATTTTATCATACAAAAAATGAAGATAGCCTAGACATAGGTTAGTTGATAGATTATATTATCTTCAGTCATTTAAATCTTATCTAATTTAATTCAATCAACATTTGAAGTCACTTTATGCCCACTACCAAATTCTCACATCCTGTTGCCTGAACTATTGGAATAATTTCCTAATTGGTCACTCTCTAGTGACCCTCCAGTCTGTTCTTCAAAGGCAAAGATAATTTTCCTAATAAGCAGCTCTGATCACAACATTTCACTGCTCAAAAATCCTTAATAGCTCCCCATTTCTTATAAAATAAAGTCCAGGGGGCAGCTAGATGGCATAGTGGATAATGCAGCGCCCTGGATTCAGGAAGACCTGAATTTAAATCTGGCCTCGGACACTTGACATTTACTAGCTGTCTGACCCTGGGCAAGTCACTTCACCTCATTGCCTCACAAAAATAAAATAAAGCCCAAACTTTTTTGCCTGGCATTTATAGTCCTCCAGTATGTTTTGTTTTGTTTTTTTTCAGGATTATCTCAGTTTATTTCCCTTCCCACTAATCAGATTGAATGGATCATCATTCTCAATACATGATCCTATTTTTTGGCCTCTGTACTTTTGCTCATGTGGAAAAATGATCCCATTGGAATCTTACCCATCTTTCAAAACCTAGTTCAAATGCCCCTTTTCTATGAAGCCTCCTCTGTTCTCTCACCTGGTAGAGGGAAAGAGTGAGTCTCAGCACAGAACAGTGGGGGAAATCTCTGAGCAGAGAAGCCATTTTCTTTCCCTATTTAAATGGTAGTGTATCAAGAACAGAGCACTGGAGTAGAGTTAGGAAAACTCAGGTTCAAATCTTGCCTCCCATACCTACTACCTGTGTGACCTGGGCAAGTTACTAAACTTCTCTGGACCTCAGTTTCTTCTTCTGTAACATGAGGTGATTGGACTTGCTACCATCAATTCAGCAATGATCTTTTGATTTAGAGGCACTATGGAGTAGTGGATAGAGTGCTAGATTTGGAGTTAGAAAGACCTGGGTTCAAATCTGAATTCAGAAACTTAACATCTCTGAGCTTCACTCCTCATTTGTAAAATGAGGATGTTGGACTTGGCCACTGACTTCTCTTTTTGCTCTAAATCTATCATTTTATGATTCTTTAACCGTCACATTTTCCCCCCTACATCTTATAATATTGATTTACATTTAGATAGTGCCCTAATATTTATAAAGCACTTTCCTATGCACTTTTAGTATTCTAATTTACAATTATTTGTGCCAGGGTCATTTCTTCTCTATTAGATTATGAGTTCCATGAGGACAGAGACTATGTTTTATTTAAACTATAGGACCCCGGCTCCTTTGGCTTCACAGACTCTCCTCCCCAACTGGTGGTCTGAACCTGTTTCAACCTATGAATGTGAACTCAATCCCTTTTCTCCTGGCCTCTGGTCTTCTTGACATTCAATTGATGGGGGCAGCTAGGTGGCACAGTGGATAGAACACTGGCCCTGGAGTTAGGAGGATGTAAATTCAAATCTGACCTCAGACACTTGACACTTAACTAGCTGTGTGACCTAGGCAAGTCACTTAACCCCACTGTCTAGCAAAAAAAAAAAAACAGAACAAAAAAAAAGACATTCAGTTGATAATTTGACTGTCTCCCTACGTTCCTGACCCTGTTACTACCTGCTGCCCAGGTGTACTCATATAACCTAATAGATCCTAATCTCAGTAGCCAAATGATCTGATACCTTCCTCCCTCTCTACCTCCCACTGGTCCCTTCACAGAAGGTTTTGGTTTTGACATTTCTGACCTTGGGACCCTAGCTGAAATGAGCCCAATAGTAGCAGCTCGGCAAGAAGGGCCAGAGCTGTTTCTGTATTCAGGATTCACCCTATTTGGTAGGTTTGGCTATGACATAGAGAGCTAAAGTAGCTTCTAGTAGGGAGAGCTGATCCATTTTCTCAGGGAAGTAGATGGATTTTCAGACTGAGTATAAATCCCTAGGTGGCCCAGGATGGGGCAGTTCATTTCCACAAATATGTATTAAGTACCTATTATGCTACCATGTGCAGCAGAACACTGTGAGAGGTGCTTGGGGAGATAGAAATTTTAAATAAGACACAGTCTCTCCCTTCATGAGGCTCTAGTAACAGTACGTGAAACATGCACAGATAATTACCAGAGATAATAATACATGATAAATGCATAAATGTCCTCTTGGATTAAAGTAAGGAAACACCTAGAAAGAACTGGGAAGGCTTTGTGGAAGAGGGGACATTTAAGTTGGGTTTTAAAGGATGAGCAGGAATTAGGTAGGAAAAGCCTCGCAGCTAAAGCCCTCACCTGTGCCAGGTGGCACTTGAACTCAGTCTTCTCCATTTCCCAGGCAGACTTAGCCTTAGCAAACTGCTGCTGGAGCTCATTCATGCCCCGCCGCTCTTCCCGGAGCTCTCGGCACAGCTCTTTCAGGATGATCTTCATGTCTGCAAGAGTCTTCACATATTCATTGGGCTGTAGGGATGGAAGGTTGGAGATTGAGAGGCATGAGGAACGTCAGAGACAAGCTAGGTCCACCCCCTCACTTTAGAAATGAGAAAACTGAGCCCTAAGGAAGTTCAATGATTTGCCCAAGGTCACAGAGGTAGTAAATGGCAGAGCCAGAGTCTGAACTCAGGACCTCTGATTTTAAATCAAGTACTCTTCTAAATCAAGTACTTTCTACCACAGCATGGCAGAGGCAGAGCTGGAAATCTGGTACTTTCACCCACCCTTAGGTCTTATGTTAGACACTCTGAAGTAGACCAGTGATGCACCAACCATCCCTTTGCCCAATCCCTCTCTGACATCAACCTAGAGGCCAGCTGTTTTTTCTAATGCCAAAGAGAATGTCAGAATCAGTCTCAGGCCTGAAAGAAGCCCCAGAGGGCACCTGGACAGACCAGCCTATGAGCAGGAATCTTTTCTACAACATCCTTCCAAATTGTTCTCTGAATGAAAACCTCCATCCTGTCATATACCTTGTAAAAAAGAAGGAAGGGATTGTATATGAAGCTGCAAATCTCCACTATGTAGAGCTTTTAATTATATAAATTCTTTTTTTAGTTCTCTTTAATTACATGATTGTAAATTCATGTAACTTTCATATGTATTCTATTTGTCTGATTCCTTCTGACCTGCTCCTTCACCCTTCTTTTCAACAGGCTAAAGAATCCCAGTTACTTCAACCAATAGTAGCAGGGCATGGTCACCGGTTCTCTGACTATCTTGGTCACCCTTAGAACTTCTAGCCTTCTCATTCAACTGTGGTTATTAGAAGCATCTTAACAACATCAGGACATTACCTAAGCTGAAGGACTTCCCCCTGTTAGAATGGATGTTCTAACACCTATTCTTGGAATGTTGAAGCTGGAAGGAATAGGAGTTGCCCCTGAGCATTCCATTTTGTCAATATCCTTCCAATAATGTGACACCCAGAAGTGAAAACAACACTCCAACTGTGGTATGATTTACAGTGAAACTATCACTTCTGGATGCTATTCTTTTCTTTGTCAGGTGCTACCCCTTTTTATTTGGACATTTTGGTTGCTGAAAAGAGCAGAAAAAGAACATTTCCATAAGGAACACTGATAAGATCAGCTTCAAAAGATACACAATCTCTCAGTTAAAAATGGGGAGAGACAAACTATTCTAAGCATCAGAGAGAGAGCTCCCCCTCAGATAAATGTTGAATTCAAGAGGGCTGCAGAATGGTCCATCAGAAAGTTTGCTTTTAGAGTTTGTAACTAAGATTGTAACTAAGAGACTGTATATCAAATAACTGTCTGAAGATTATGGGAAGATTATATAATGACTGTTGGGGTCACATCTGATAAAATGAGGAATTTTTGAGTCTTAAATCAAAGACTAGACATGAGTCCTGCTTATAAAGAAGCTTTGATTTGAAGTATCAGAATAGGGATAGGAGATGACCAGATGGAGACAGAAGCAGGAAAGAAAGCTGAACATAGGAGTAAAGAGGGACAGAAGACATAGGAGGCAATGAGAGGAGTTACACAGAAAACACAGAACTTAGAGGCAGCTAGGTGGCACAGTGCATAGAGCACTAGTCCTGGAGTCAGGAGGACCTGAATTCAAATCTGGCCTCAGACACAACACTCACTAGCTGTGTGACCTTGGGCAAGTCACTTGACCCCATTGCAAAAAAAAAAAAAAAAGGAAATACAGAACCTGATAGGAACTGATCAAAACTAAGAGGCAGACTTTGCAGCTATTTTGCTGGTATCCATGTTGACTGGGAGAAAGGGATTGATTTGCTGAGAATTGAGTGGCTGGAGTATGACAAGTATTGGCCAGATAATTTCCCAGGTCACTATCAGCTCTAAAATCTATAAGCCTATAAAGTAACTACACAAGAATTGGCTGAAGGCACTAAGGTTGTTTAGCCTAAAGAAGAGAAAACTTAGTGGAAATATGATTACTATCTTAAAGTATTTGGATTGTCATGTGGAAAAAGAGAATTAGATACCAAGCTTGGCACCAAAGAAGAGATGAGAAAATATGTCTCCTTCCCTTCTTTGAAGAGGCAAGGGACAAAAGGTGTGGAACATTGTGTGTATTGTCAGTCACTTGATGTATTGGTTTGTTTTATAGAACTGTCTTTTTTTTCTTTTTCACTTTTATTTCTTGTTACAGGATTTTCTAGCTAGGGGAGAGGTAAGAGGTATTTGAAAATGAAGGTAATGAAAGACCAAACAATATTTTTTAAAAGTTATATTTGTTTTGTTTGGCCCACAAGGCCCAACTGAGAGCAGCGGGAGGAAGCTGCAGAGTCATATTTCAATTCAGTAGAAGTCGAATTTTTCTACCAACTATAGCATACCAAAAGTGGAATGGGCTATCTTTCTTAGTAGCTAGCACTGATATAGCACTTTAAGGATTGCAAAGAACTATAAAATATTATCTCATTTTATCTCTACAACAACCCTGAGAGGTGGTAGGTACTACTATTATCTCCATTCTATAGATAAGGAAATTAAGGCAAATAGCTAGTAAGAGCCTGATGCTACCTTGGAACTCAAGTCTTCATGACTCTGTCCTGCGCTGTATCCACTGTGCCACCTAGCTGCCTCAAGGTAGTGAGTTCCCTATGACTGGAGGTTTTAAACAGAGGATGTAGAAGAGATTTCTCTACAGAACTAGATGGTCTCTTAGAGCCTCCAGCTGTAAGGTTTTGTTTTTCTGTGACTCACCTAGGATCACACAGGGCATTATTTTCAGAGCAAATACTAGAATGCAGGTCTCTTAGAATCCCCTTTCTCAAAGGCCACATTGAGCATGGCCACAATGAATAACACCCCATTTCCCCCAAAGTTGATCCTGTTAGTCTTTTGGATGCTTTGCTTAACATGCATTTGCCGACAGACAAATATGTGATCAGCACAAATACAAAAACAATTTGGGTTACTCTCCTGGACCTCTCATGTGATCTTTAATTGTTTTCTCCATGCCTCATTCCTTCTTGGAAAGCTCACTTCTCTGGGTGTAAAGTAGTGTAAAACATTGGAATGAGCAACATTAGAAGCCCAGATCATCTTATATCTTTTCTTTTTTCCCCTAAAGAACTCTCTTTACTAAGAAATGGTAGCAGATCCTGAGGGTCAGGACCCCTCAGTGACACGGGAAATCTAGTCATTCATTATGTGGTGACAAGCACCTGACTAAGAGTCAAGACACCAGCGTTCTGATTCTTGTTTTCTTATGAACTTGATATACCATCTTGGACAAGACATAGGCAGCTAGATGAAGTCATGTGGATAGGGTGTTTGACTCAGAGTAAGGAAGACCAGAATTCAAATCCTTCCTTAGATACTTTGCTGTGTGACCATGGGCAAGTCATTTAACCACTTGAGGCCTGTTTCCTCAACTGTACATAATAATAGTCAACATTTATCTGGCACTTACTATATATCAGACACTGTGCTAAGCACTTTAAAAATATTGTCTCATTTGAGCCCCACAACTACCCTGGGAGTTACGTGCTGCTATAACCCCATTTTACAGATGAGGAAACTCAGACAGAGGTTAAGTGACTTGCCCTAGGATCATATAACTAGCAAGTGTCTGTGGCTGGATTTGAACTCAGATCTTTCTGACTCCAGGCCTGAGGCTCTATCCATGTTGCCATTTAGCTATCTGTAAAATGAGGATAAAAACAATACTATTCATAGGGGTTTTGTGAGGATCAAAATAAGATAATTTTTTAAAGGCAGTTTGTAAACCTTAAAGCACTATATAAATGTTAATTATTATCATTATAATCATTATAATCATCATTATTATGTCCATTTTCAGGGCCTCTGTTTCCTAATCTGTAAAATGGGGATAATAATCCCATTCCATATCATAGGGTTGTTATCAAAATCAAATGATACTATATGCAAAAGTGAAAAATAAAATATAAAATGCCACACAAAGCATTATTAGCATATGATGATTATATTCAGCTATGGGCTGATATTTTTATTTTCCTGTCTCTTAAATATAAACATGGAAAGTCATAAGTCCATAGGAGCACATATCTAGAGCTGGAAGGAACCTCAGATCATCTTGTCCGTCAACCTCATTTTAACAAATGAAAACTTGATGCCTTTGGAAGTTAAATACTTGCTGAAGGTCATATAGGTAACAAGAAATAATCTTTCCCATCCTTTAAGGTTGGGGGTATTTTCTTTTAGCTAGTGGTCAGCCTCTGTAACTCCTCTACTTTAACAATGGCTGAGATCTGTATTGTACTGTGTGTGTGTGTGTGTGTGTGTGTGTGTGTGTATAAATAAAATTTTACTGATCCTTTCAACAACCCTTTGAGATAATTGCTATTATTCCATTTTCATAGGTAAGGAAACTATGGTCAAATGAGTTGCTCAACATCAGACATGGTATTTGAACCTTGGTCTCTTCTGACTTCAAAATCAGCCATTTTCCCCATGATACTACCCTCCCCTTCCTCTTCATGGCCTGTATTGTATTACTATAAACAGTCTCACAGATGGAAAGTTAAAAGAGACTTTAGGTTATCAAAATACAAATTCATCAAATACAAGCCTTTATTTCTCAGAAGAAGAAACTGAGGCACAGAGAGGTTAAATGTCTGCCTAGGGTCATAAAGCCAGCAAGTGTCTGAGGCAGAATTCAAAGCCAGGTCTTCCTAACTCCAGGTCCAGTGCTCTATCCACTGCACTACTCACTCATCTTGAGTCAGGCCTCTTTCTTTAGGAGCCTCTGTATACGAGTTTCATTTATTCTGATTCTGCTCTTCCTGTTTACGTCTCTACCATGTGTTTTCCTCCTAGACTCCCATCTCTGAATTTTGGATTGGGGGCTGATAATGTGACCCTGATTTTTTTCCTTTGAACGATGGTTTGGTTTTGATATTATAGCCCCAGAGTGCATTCAGATTCTGATTCATCCATTAACAGTAGCTACATAAGAAGGATTTGATTCCCTTCCTCAGGAACTGACAACTCACAGTGTTCTGTGTCCAGATGTCCCCCACACAGGATTTATTGTCAGAATGCTGGGGGTTTAGCTCTTCCTCTTCCATTAGCAGGTAGAGTTCCTTCATGCTGTTTACCTATTAAGGAAACACAACAGGTAAAATGGAAAACTTGTTGAATCTTTTTGGAGAGCAGTATGGCAGGAGGCAGCAACATTTGTAAATATAATTCTACTATTTCATTCAGTTATTTCCAATATACCTTGAAAGGCCTTTCAAAAACCAAAAATCTGTTCCATGATGTTCATGGCATATAATTGCAAGGCAAAAAAGCAAAATCATAACACAGCATACACTATGACTGTGTAAGAGAGAAAAAAATGAGAATAAATGGACAAAGGATCCTTATGGAGATGTAGAAAAACAACTGAAAAGTTGTTGTGCAAAAAATGTAGAAAGACCTTTATAAAATAATGAAAAGTGAAAACAGCCAAACCAGAACAGAAAACACACTATCTATGACCACGTAAAAGAAAAAATGAATGAGAATAAATGGACAAAGAATCTTCATGGAGATGGAAGGAATGACTGAAAAGCTATTATGAGACTTTATGAATTGAAATTAATTTACTTATCCTTTCTTGGTCAACTTTGCCAATTTGATTCTGAGTTGGTTTAATTAGTAATTCTCTATTAGTGGTTTGGAGCATTTTTTCATGTGGTTATAGATAGCTTGTGTTTCTTCCTTTAAAAATTGATTGTTTATATCCTTTGACCATTTATTAATTGTCAAAAATCACCAAAATTGGCCATTTTATCTTTTGTACATTTTTTGTACATAGTCATCTCAAAGAATTTATCCCTTGCCACTCTAAATTTGTTTATGATGTGAGCTTTTGTATGTAAGTCTTGTATCAGTTTGGACATATCTTGGTATATGGTGTGAGGTGTTGGTGTAAACCCAGCTTCTGGATGATTTTGGTTATATAAGATACAAAAAGTTTTTTTTTGTATAAACAAAACCAATACAGTTAAGATTAGGAGACAATTAAATGAAGGAAAATAATCTTTGCAGCAAGTTTCTCTGATAAAGGTCTCATTTCCAAGACATAAGGAACTCATTCAAATTTATATAAATAAGACTATTTAATAAATGGTCAAAGAATATCAATTGTCGGTCTTCAGAAATCCAAACTATTAACATCCACATGAAAAAGATGCTCTAAATCACTAATAATTAAAGAAATTAAAATTAAGACAACTCCGAGGTTCCACTTCACACCCACCAAAATGGGAAAGATGACAAAAAAAGGGAAAATAATATGTTAGAAGAGCTGCAGAAAAGCAGGAACATTAATGTATCGTCAGCTGATAGTTATTCTGGAGAGTAATCTGGAACTATGCCCCCAAAGTTAATACACTGTGCATGCCTTCTGACCCTGTGATATTACTACTATGCCGATAATCCAAAGAAAGCAAAAAGGAAAAAAGACCCATATGTATGAAAATATTTATAGAAACTCTTTTGTAGTGCTGAAGAATTGGAAATTAAATGGGTCCCATCAATTAAGGAATAACTGAACAAATTATTGTATATGAAAGCTATTATCTCATAAGAAATGGTAAAAAGGATAGTTTCAGTGAAACCTTGGATGACTTGTATAAACTGATGCAGTGAAATGAACAGAACTAGGAGAACAATTTATATAAGAACAATATTTTGAAACACCTAAGAATCCTGATTAATGCAAAGACCATTCAAGACTCCAGAGGATCAATGATGATATAATCTATCCATCTCCTGACAAGTGATGTACTCAAGATATTTCTTTTGCTTGACTCTGTGTATTTGTTACAAGGATTTTGTTTTTCTTTCTTTTCAATGGGGGAAGGGAGTAGCAAAGAGAGAAAAATTAATTAAAAAGTTTAAAAAATTAGAAACTTATTTACTTAACTATAGATAGCTATTTGGTTGTAATGATGTCAATATTAGTTCATAAAACATTTACTTAAAACCCCAAAATGCCATCAGGTAACAGGGACAATATTCTTACCTAGGTCATAAAGACCCCCTCCATAATGAGGCCACCACTGATATACAGCAGAGGCCTGCTTGAAAGATCAGCTGCAACTAGAAATATAGCCATTTCAGGACTATAGTCTTTATATCATTGTTCCTTTAGTTGGATAGAATAGGGAATAATGCTTTGTATTTTCATTAATATGCTGGCATTTCATGGTAGTCTGTCTAAATAGCATCCTGAATCACATATCTAGTTAAAATCTAAATGATGCGTTTTTTTTAAAAGGTAAACTCCCTTAGTCTCCCACTTCATTAGATCTTATCTGTAAAGTACTCCCTCTACCAACCAGTTGTTGTGCCCCACTCTGTGTAACCCCATTTAGGGTTTTCTTGGCAGAGATACTGGAGTGATTTGCCAGGGCACATCGCAATCTACCCCTCTCATCTCTCCACAGAAGATTCATCCACCAAATGTGGTAGAGGCCTTCCTCTGGATCTTTTCATATTGGGAGGATAGCAGTGTAGCATTTGTACTGTCCATCTGTTATCTTTCACTAGGCCCATTAGGCCCATGACAGACCCACTTCCTTTTCTGAACATACATATCTTTGATAGTTTGTATATTTTATGCCATGTTTCTGACCAGGTCACTGTTAATATAACATACTGCAGGTCGCTTAGACCATAGTCACTTAGTAGATAGCTTAAGTATATCATGTCACACTGTTTGAAGAACTGAGCTTCATTAAAGGATTTTTCTTTCCCAGGTTCTTTGGAAAGAAACAATGGTATATACTATAACCCTCAAAGTACTATATTTCTGATTTAAGTGATCTTTCAGGCAGGTCTTCATTCTGTATCAATGGTATCCTCATTACAGATGTCCTTTTTCCCTGGGATAAAAAGAGAGCAGGAAGAAATTCAGAAGAGGATACAGATAATTAGAGTACTATCATATTACCACATTAAAGTTAATATGTGCTTAAAAAAACCTAAGTAAGAGGTTTATGGTTTCATATGTAATATGCCTTTTCTGTTCTTTGTAGAAGGATATGTTCATGTATGTTAATATCTGTCGAGTTCATAATTTTTTGAAAGTAAAAAAAACAACAACAGAGTAGGTGAGGGGCAGTCAGGGTCAGGGCCCTGAACAAATCAGACCAAAGGAACTTTGGATCACTGTTTAAAGATGTTCGCTATAAATTAGGTCAAAAAACTAGCCATCAATTTTCTGGTAAGCAGGGGCACCCTCAATGTTAGGGCAAAGCACATCCTATCTCAATCCAGTCAAACTATTTGCAAAATCACAAACTGCCCAGACAAAGAAAAGAAATAGAAAAGCAGAATCTACAGCTTTATGTACAGACCTGATCATTTCACTTCTCTGTTCAGGAATCTTTAATTCATTTTTTCTTGCCTGAATACAGTTCAGGATCCTTTTCCTGCCACATTCAGTGCCCTCTTCAGTTGGGTGCCTGCCCTTATCTCTCTCTCTCTCTCTCTCTCTCTCTCTCTCTCTCTCTCTCTCTCTCTCTCTCTCTACATGGCAAACTGCATGACAGTAAAAACACTCTACATTCTCTCACTTGCACACCTTTGTTTATATCATGATCCTGTGAGGTAAGAACTATAGCTATTATCCCCCTATTTTTTAAGGTGAGGAAACTGAGCCTTAGGCTAACTTGCCCATGAGCAGATAGTATCAGAGGCAAAATTTGAACCCAGGTTATCCGTTATACCATGATGCTCCTAACTATAGAGATAATGGTGAGGGTAGAGGAGGGCAAGGACAGAGGAAGAAAGAGAAACAATAATAGCTAGCATTTATATAATGCCTATTATGTGCCAGGCACTATGCTGATAGAGAGGAAGAGAAAGAGGGAAAGAGAGAAAGGGACAAAAAAAGAAATGGGGGGAGGGGAAAGAGAGAGGGATACAGGGATGCACAGAGAATAATAAGAGAGCGTGGATAAGCATGTATCTCTGCAGCACCCTCCAGCCACTGAGTCCTGTGAGCTACAGGGTCCTCCATACCTCTAGAAAGTCACCTCCCTCACTGGGTAAAATCTTGCCCTGTCTCCAGCGTTTGAGGAACCACTTAAGCTTCATGAAAAGCAGCAGGAAGTTCTGCTTGAACTGTTGGGATTCCTGCACCAGGAGATTCTTCTCCTGGCTCCAAAACTTCTGCTCCAGCCTCCTCTGGAGGTTCACACTCTGCAGCTCAAACTCCCTCCGTAGGAGAGTCTTCTGTTGATCTTCCTTCAGCTGTAGAAACAGAAAAAGAAAAGTGAACAACCCTGATGCCACTTTTTTGATCTTCCCAGGCCCTGCCTCATGTCCAGCAGGCACACATATACATGGTGTGATGTGAGGGACACTTTATCCCCACTGGTCCATTGTTGCTGGTGCCTGCCTGAAATCTCATCTGCAGGTCATTCCCACCAAGCCTGGAGTAGTTATGAAAAAATGAACCTCCTTTCCTTTCTTGGTAGAGTTTGGAGACTATGGTTGTGTAATATTGTATATTCAGTCAGACTCATTTCAAGTGTGGGTTTCTTTTCCTCCTTGCTTCCTTTTTTATTATTTGTTACAAAGGGTGACTTACTTAAAGGATGGGTAGAAGGGGAAAGAATCTATTTGGAAATGAAGGTAATGTTAAAAACAAAAGAGAGCAATAAAAGTCACAATTGAAAAGGGACAAATAATAGAATGGCAGAGTCAGAAAGTACCCTAGTAAGTACAATTCAAAATGCTAGCAATAAGAGGGACTTTACAGAACATCTAGTCGCACTTCCTCATTTGAACAGAGGAATAAACTAAGATATAGAGTGACTGACTCAAGATCACAAATTAACTCAAGTTTTCTTCTCGACTTGAGAACTCATGAGTCAATATGAATGTGTTTACTCTTGGTAGAGAGGAAAAAAAGAGTTCCCAGAAAGGATGTAAAAGGGTTGGTCACCAAAGTCAAACTTTACCTTCTTCACAATTTTGCCAAGGACTGGCTCTGTTCCCCATCCCTCCTTCTCTGGGTCCACAGAGATCTCCTGTGTCTAAGACATATTGCCTCCCCTGACTCCCAGAGGTAAAATGTAGGATCATTGAATTAAGGGATAGAAGGATCCTTAGGAGTCCTGTAGTCCAGCCTTGTCATTTTACAGAAGAAAATTGGGGGGGGGGTCAAGGGAGGGAGGGACTTGTTCATGCTCACATAGCAAGGAAATAGAGGCAGAATGTGAATCCATTTCCATCGAATCCAAATTCAGTGCTCTAATAACTACAGCATTTTTATAGTGCCTGCTATGATTTAGAATAATAACCATAATATCTAACATTGATATAGCATCTAGCACAGGCTCTGCACTAGAGGTTTACAGATAACTCATCTGATCTTCACAGCCTTCAGAGGTAGATGATATTATTATATCCATTTTACAGTTGAGGAAACTGAGGTAAACAGAGGTTAAGGAACTTGCCCAGGGCCACAGAGCTGGTAAATATCTGATCTGGATTTGAACTCAAGTCTTCCAGACTCCAGGTCCAGCACTCTATCCAAGCAATGTAACCACCCAGCTACTTCTTTTCACTAAGTATCTAGAGCCAAAAGAATTGATGCTAGGGGCCCCAGCACTCTTCTAGACTGTGAACTTCTGCTAAGAACACAGAACACCTACTGTTGTTGTCTTCGGGTTGCATGTCAGAGCAACTGATGAAGAAGATGTTTCTAGAGGCTTCCCAATGAATTTTAGGGATTCCCATTACAGCAGCAGAGGGGCTACTGGGTGCAGCTATATAAGCAAGTACCCCGGCCTCTCCTTCCCCTCCCCTTCCCTGTGTTAGACAAAGAACCCAACCCCAGATCTCCCACCCTTTCCTCATGAAGAATTAAAAGTCACCTATATTCAGAGGTCTCTTAGTCCTCAAATAATTACCATCTCTACACCTGGGAGACCAGACCTTCTCATGGCCTGACAAATGTCTTCCTTGACAGATCTCTAAGTAGTATTGAATTCTAACATTCTTTGCATCAGTGTCTGGTTTCTAGCTCTGTGTTCTGAAGGGACACAGTTACCAGACTAGCTTCTCTTTCCAGTCACCTGGGAACCACCATAACCTCGGAACCATCCTTGACTTTTTCTCCCTCACTGCCTTTGTATCTAATCAGTGAACCAGTCCTGTCAATTTTACTGCCATGACATCTTTCCTATCTGGCCCCTTCTCACAATTCATGCATTTGTCTATCAGTTTGTCTCTCGCATGGACTGCAGTAATAGTGCCCTAAATGGATTACCTGTATCTAATCTCTCCTTTATTCTATGCAGGCTGCTGTGCAAATGATTTTTCTAAGGCTCAGGTATGACCACTTTACCTCTTCCCCTCTCTAAAATTTTCACTGACTCCTCACTGGCTTTATGTTATAAGAAAGTTTGCTCACTTGACATTCAAAGACCTCCAGAATCTGGATCCTGTCTACTTTTCCAGGCTTATTTCATGACTCCCCTTCTTCATGTGCTCAATATTCAGCCAAAATGGATTACTAGTTGTTCTCTAAGCACTATATGCTCCATGCTAACCAGCCCTGATTGTTGAAGTCCTTCCCTCCTTTCTTGAAGGACCAACTCTGAAATTACCTCTACCATTAAGCATTCCCTGTCTCCTCCCTCATCAAGTGAAAGTGATATCTCTCTCCCCATTTTTTGTTACTGATGCTTTAAAAAAAAAGCCATACATTGCTGTCATTCCCCAATATCATACCACAATAGAACCATCCCATATAAGAAAACAAAGCAGAGTGAAGTAAGCCCAGCCAAGAGAACAATGACAACCGTGCAAAACCGAAGAACTACAATTAAGGCGATGACTAATCAAGAGTTAAGAAGACTGATGATGTGGCATGTTCCCCGCCTCTTGGCAGAGAGATGGTCAAGAGATACAGAAAGAGACATTTTCAGACGCAGCTAGTATATTGATTTTGCTTGACTATAGCTACTTGCTATAAGGTAGGGCATTTTTTCAGGAAGGTGACGGGAGACTAGGGATAGGAGTAATACTAAAAGAAGAAAAGAAGAGAGCGGGACAGCTAGGTGATGCGGTGGAGAAAGCACTGGCCCTGGAGTCAGGAGGACCCAAGTTCAAATCCAGCTTCAGACGTGTAATACTCAACTAACTGTGTGACTCTGGGCAAATCACTGAACCCCAATTGCCTCACCAAAAACAAACAGACAAAAAAGTACCAATGAAACATTTTTTAAAATATGCAGAAGGAAATTCAGAAAGGACACAGACAAGTAGGGCAGTGTCAGTGTTGGAGAACTACTAGATTAAATATAACATATACTTTAAAAAATGAAAAGAAAAGGAAAAGAGAAAAAGTACAGTTATATGAAACAAACTGACACACTGACCAAGACTGACATAGATGCCTCATACCACATTCAGAGTCCATCAACATTGTATAGATAGGAGGAAAGTATATTTCATCGTCAGCCCTTTAGAAGTCAACATTAGCCATTGGATTGATCTGAGTGGTAACATCTTTTAGTGCCACCTCACTTTTTTTCACAGCATTTTCCCTGGACCTCTCCTTTGTATCTTTCTTACTCTGCCTTTCATTAGATTTATTTTGAATGAAAAAATGAATAAATGAAAAATCACTCATTAAGCATTCACTATGTACAAAGCTGTGTTCTTTCTTTCTATCTATCCTTCTGTCTATCTATCTACATGTCTTTTCCCCCATTACAATAGAATCACAGAATATTAGAACCAGAATGGGCCTTGGAAGTCATTTAGTCTACCTTTCTCATTTTACAGATGAGGAAACTGAGACCTAGAGAAGTGAAGTGTTTGCTCAAGGTCACAGCTAATAAGTGGAAGAATATAACCCAAACTCAGGACTGTTTTTACTCCAAGTCAAAACATAAGCAGCTAGGTGGCACAGTAGATAAAGAGTACTGGGCCTGGAGTCAGGAAGACCTGAATTCAAATCTGGTCTCAGATACTAGCTGTGTGACTCTGTTTGCCTCAGTTTCCTCATCTGTAAAATGAACTGGAGAAGGCAATGCTGAACCACTCCAGTGTCTTTGCCAAGGAAAAAAACACTACCCAAATGGGGTCATAAACTGAAACAAATGAACAACAACAAATATCACTGTAGTGATACACTATTCTATATCCATCTCCTTGAGATTTGGGTATGTGTCATAGTTATCTTTGCAGAAGATACCACCCAGACAGTTCTACTCCTTGCTCCCTAGGACACTAAAACTTTTGTCCTTAGACTGTGGCAAAGGAATTGGGGGCTGGCTGGGGTAGAGCACAGAACAGGGCACTGTCACTGACCTGGAAGATTTTTTGATTGAAATTCTCTGCATCCTCTTTACGCAGCTGCCTCTCTTGGGAAAGCTGTTCTTGAAGGCCCCGAAGGCTCTCATGGGCTTCTGAGAGCACCAGCTGTAGTTCTTTGATCTGGGGAATGATGATGTTGATGATGAGGATGATGATGATGATGATAATAAGAATAATGTCATATTTGTATAGCACTTTAAAGTGTACCAAGCACTTTCCCAACAGCAACTCTGCAGAGTAGGTATTGTAAATACCCCAATTTTTCAGTGGAACAAACGGAGGCCCAGATATAACCACAATGTTTAACTGGAGTCAAGCCCTGAGCCCCCAAGTGCTAATGTTCTCTTAGAACCAAGGCACACTGTTCACTATACTCTTGCCATGAGGGACAGACTCAAAGCCCTGTTGAAGTCTTCCTTCACTGGGAGATCCAGGGGACTCAGGAAAGAGTAAAGTCAGCAATCCCCGTCTTTTATCCTTAAACATTCCCCACAGAATTGTCCTGGGAGTATAGTGGTACCTCTGACCCCTTCTGTACAAAGCACATGGTCATTCTCCCTTTACTCTTTTCCCATTAATCTATGCTTCATAACTAGCCCTAAGCTAGCCCTAAGCCCATTTTCAATTTTCTCCAGCCCAAAGTAAGTTCTCCCTTTGAACCTCCTGCAACATTTACTGCCCACTCTACTCACTTGGCAACTAATCACGAATGGCCCAGTGTCACCTCTCATATTATGATTTCATACCTCACAGGCTTGTCTGGTCTCCCCAATTAGACTGTGAGCCTCTTGAGAGTCAGGATCTCTGTGTTAAATCTCTTCTGTATCACCACACACATGTACACACAATACCTAGCACAGAGCCTGAGCTCAACAAATATGGGTTGACCAATCAATCGATATTTATTAAGCACCTACTATGTGCCAAGTACTGTGCTAAGTGCTGGGGATACAAAAAGAGGCAAAAGACTTGTCCTCAAGGAGCTTATAATTGAATGGGGGAAACAACATGCAAGCAAACATACACAAAGCAAGCTATACACAGGATAAATAGGAGATAATTAACAGAGAGGAGACACTGGAATTATGAGAGGTTGGGGGAAGCCTTCCTGTAGAAGGTGGGATTTCAGTTGGGACTTAAAGGAAGCCAGGGAGGTCAGCAGTCGAGTAGCAGAGTGGCACGGTCAGACCTGGCTTTAGGAAAATCACTTTGGTGGCTGAATGGAGGATGGATTGGAGTGGGGAGAGACTTGAGGCAGGCAGGCCCACCACCAGGCTACTGAGGTGATGAGGGCCTGCACCAGGGTGGTGGCAGCGTCAGAGGAGAGAAGGGGGATATTCAGGAGATGGTGCAAAGGTGAAAGCAGCAGGCAAATGATTAACTGACTACAAACATGGCATTCATGTTGTTCTCCCTTTAAGCCTATTGACCCCCTTAGGTATTTGGATATTATCAATCCCAGTCTTGTTTTCTGTCCAGTACACTGTGCTGGAGCCTCATTAACATGCACAAACTGCCATCCTCAATAAATGCCTATGTCCCTAGCAGAGTACCCCTAAAATATATGCCTGTTTGGATATGCACCTGGGGAGCCTGAACTGGCCTTATGGGCCACCCTAGGAAATCATCACAGACCTAAGAGAAGGGCCCCAGGGGCACAGTGATTCTAGAACAGGTTCTGGGCAGCTCCAGGGCATATGCCCAAGTGGCAATCAAACCAACCCTATGCTCTAAGATCATAGACTTGAATCTGGAAGAGACCTCCAGATCAATTTAGTCCAACCCCTTCATCTTACAGATGAGGAAACAAAGGCCCAGGGAAGTCAATGAACAAAGTAATAAGCATCAAAGGTGAGGATTTCACTCAACCTTCCCAGAGCAATGCAAGACCCTTGAAAGCCAGCCTGAGTCCAGAGAGACCAGCTATGGATTTTCCAGATCTCAACTTATCCTGTACCCAGGGAAACCTCAAGGAGGCCTGCTAAGATTTAAGATAAACCTGAGAAAGGCAGCATGACTTGTAATATGTTGGGGCGAAACGGGACAACTTAACACTCCTTCCTCATAGAATCTCTTCCCTCGAGATGCAGCTCAAGTACCACCTCCATGAAACCTTTCTTGATCCCCCCCAACTGCTAATGACTTCCCTTCCAACCTACCTTTTATTTTAACTACTTTTAATTTATTTTGTATTTATTCTGTACATAGTTATGTTCTTGTCTCCTTCAGCAGAGTGTAAGCTCCTTGATGGCAGGGATTGTTTCATTTCTTACACAGGGCTTATACATTGGAGGCACTTAACAAATGCCTGTTGATTGACTGACTTTTGGGGACTGCTCCAGAATCCCCTCTAATGAGGCCTTGCCTGCTCGTCCTGGCGTTCCCTGCTCTAACCATTCCCAGGACCCCCTGGCCCAGGCGCACCTCAGTAGCATAGGATTCATTGTCTTCAGCTTGATAAGTCTTGTAGCTCCGGGTGAGTTCGGGTTTGGGGGTCCGGGTCGCTGCAGAAGGCCTCCCTGGCCCGGGGCTCCCAGTCTGGCAGGTCTCTAAAGTCAGGCTGCATGCATGGGCAAACCGATGAGAACAAACGAAAAGAGCTGGGAGATCAAAGGGGTGAGGAGAAGAACCCAGAAAAACAGACCAATGGGTATTCAAGAACAGCAGAAGCTACACGATGAGGAAAAAGAGGAGGCAAGGTTCCCCAATATGGCACAGGAAAGTAAAAAACAAAGTAAAAAAAAAAACGATGAGCAGTAAATAAGGGGACTGAGTTGTATGGGGGAGGGGAGTAGGAAGAGGAAAAAAGAGAGAATGGAAAAGGGGGGGGGGAATGTACAGACACTAACATGGTATCATGCAGAAGCAGAGGAAGGGAAACCAGGGCCCAAGGAGGCAGTGCTCTCAATAAAAGACCCTGTACTGGATCCCTCAGCCCATCTTTCTCCAGGACATGTTGAAAGGGAAAGCCCCATGCCCTGTACCTTTGGCTTCCTTGATCTCTTTTGAGCTGCAAGGACTATATTCCATGTTCAACTGATCCCATTACTTGTTTAGTTTAGCTGAGTTAAGACCTGCCTCTTAGAGAAAGAGATGAGAAAATAGAAAATCTCTGTTCTCCTATTTATAATTAATAATAATAATAATAATTAAAGCTGACATTTACATATCACTTTAATCCTTGCAATGCACTTTACATATATTTTCTCCTTTGGAGCTTATCAACAATCTTGTAAGGTAGGCAGGTGCTTTTCTCATTCTCATTTTACAGATTAGGAAACTGAGGCTCATAGAAATGAAGCGACTTGTGAAGGGTTGCAGAACCAGAATAGGTCTGACCTAAGATTTGAACCCACGTCTTATTAACTTCAAGTTTAGCATCCTGTACATTATGCCTCTCTGACTATGTATGCTGTTTGGGGGCAGGAAGAACAACACCTTCCCTCTCTACAGAGGCAAGAAGCTTTTAGAACAGGGGCACTTTGGAGAGGGGACGGAGCAACTGTTAACTTTGAGCTTTCATGAAGTTGGTGTGTATGACTGTAGTCTGAGTGTTGGTGTCTGTGACTGTAGCTCAGGCAATAGGGAAGCTGTAGTTCAGTGTGAATGTCACAGCGCTCGGGAGTGTGGGTGCTATATGTTGTAATATGGTCTGTCCTGTATGTGTGTCATAGGGAGTCTATAGGGACAAAGACTGTGTCCTGGATCATGGGAACAGCACATAGGAAGGAAATAGCATCAGAAGGGACCTCAAGGGTCATCTAGTCCCTTTGAGAGATGAGAAAACTAAGGCCCAGAGAAAAGTAGCTTGCCAAAGCTCATGCAGGCAGGAAGTAGCATCGCTGGCATTCAAACGCAAGTGCTCTGACTCCATTCTAGTGTTCTTCCCACTACACTGTGCCCCTCTGTCTGTAAATCCCCCTCAATCCTATCATGGTGCCTGGCACATAGTGGTACTCATACATGTTTGCTGATTGACTGAATGAATACATTCGCTCAGTTATTTAATATGCATTTATTAAGTATCGATGATGTGCCAGGAACTTTGATAGGCCCTGGGAATTCAGAGACAAAAATAAAACAGCCCTATCCCTCTACTGAGGACAAATGTAGACATTTAAGTAAATGCAGAGTAACTGGGATCGGGGAGGGCAGAAGGGCATTAGCAACTGGCCGCATGTAGGAGGTGGCTCAGGAGCTGAGTTTCAAAGGAAGCTAGGGATTGGAGAGATAGATGAGGAGGGAGTGAATTCCAGGCACAAGGACGGCCTGAGCCAAGGCAAGTGGGAGACAAAAGGTTATGTTTGGGAAACAAGTAGTTCAGTTTGGTTAGAACACAGAGGTCATGGAGAGGAAAATAGGTGATAAGCCTGGAAAGATGGGCTCCAGACAGATTTTGGAGGACTTAAAAGCCAAGCAGAAGAGTTTGTCATGTATCTTGGAGGCAACAAGGGAAACTTCTTCAGGAGAATTCTGATTGACATGGTCAGACCTGAGCTTTAGGAAAATTTATTGGGCAGCTTTATGGAGAATAGATTGGAGATGAAAGAGGCTTGTAACAGGGAGACCAATCAGGACGTTGTTACGATAGCCCAAGCAAGAGATGATGAGAGTCTGGACTAGGGTGGTGGCCCAGTGAGGTGAGTGAAGGATATGTGCCTGGTTCTTAGGCAGAGGTGACTTGCACCTTTTAATACCTAACAGCATTACCAGTAGTTATTAGCATATTAACCATATTACTAGTAATAATTACCATATTAATAGTATAGCCTTGAACTCTTAGGTATTAAAGTTATCTGCATTTGTCTCAAATCTCCAAACTAGACTATAAATTCTATGAGGACAGAGCATAGGTCTTATAAATCATAGATTTCTCCAATAGAATGTGAGCTTCTTCTTCTTTTTTTTTTTTGGTGAGGCAGTTGGGATTAAGTGACTTGTCCAGGGTCACACATCTAGTAAGTGTTATGTGTCTGAGGCTGGATTTGAACTCAGGTCCTCCTGACTCCAGGGCCAGTGCTCTATCCACTGCGCCACCTAGCTGCCCCAGAATGTGAGCTTCTTGAAGGCAAGAACCGTTTAATTTTTGTCTCTGTATCTTCAGCGACCTAACACATATTAGGCATTTAATAAATGTTTGTTGATTGTCTCTTGAATGAATGCATATAATGAGTTAGATGTTCTCCAAATGTAGCTACTTAGAAAAGCTACATGAATTCCTTCATATCACTACAGAGGGGGTTCCTAACCTAGGGTCAGTGAACCTTTTTTAAAAAAATGCTTGAAAAAAAATGCCGGATAACTATTTTGATATAATTGATTTCCTTTATAATCCTATGTATTTTATTTTATTTTATGCATTTAAAAACATTACTCTGAGAGGTCTATAGGCTCCACTAGATTGCCCAAGGAGTCTATGATACAAAAAAGTTTAAGAAACCCTGCATTAGGGTATCCATGACATAACGTTCTATCCTACCTCCTTCCTTCTTTTCTTTGCTTGTCCAACCTTCAAGGCCCAGCTTCTTCCTGAAATCCACCTCTACTACTCTAGCCCCTATTAACTTCTCTCAGATCTAAACTTCAGTAACATGTAGAGACTCATAACTTAAGACTGGAACTTATCCTGTCTTATATTTCTCTCTGAGTGGCCCTCTGTTAGTCTCATCTTACTAAAAAGTTTATAAGATCCCCGAGGGCACAGGTTTTGTGTTTTAGAAATCTTCCAACAGTGGGAGGTACACTGCTGGGCAAAGAGTAAGGGCTCCATAAATGCCCATTGAATGATTCACCCTGTAACCAGTTAGTTCAGCAGGTCAAGATGACAGGATTCAGCTCCTTACAGGCCTGAGAGCTTTGTTCTGTTCCTCAAAGTTACCATCTGCACATTGGCCCTTGGCCAGCTCTCTCACAAATGCATGCCATGATCAGTAGAAGAATAATCAGGGGAGGCTCAGTATTATCCAACATGGCTAGTGCTTCACCCTGAAGTGTTTTACAAATGTCTGCTTAATGAAATGGAATACCAGGGCACTGTCCTGGAGCGGGAAGTTTGCTTCTTCTTAAAACGAATTTTTTCAAATGCTTTGAATATTCAGTGGTACAGAGTCCTTCTGAGACACCAGGCATTTAATTGGCCAGAGAAGCATGGAAGTTCAGGCAACTTTGGGTCCCCAGCTCCAGAGGCTCAGTGAAAAGGTTTTAGGAATCCAGACACTGAGGAAGGTCTATTGGCACTGAGAAGTACAAGCAAGGCTTTCTCGACTTAGTAAGGACCTTGATACAGCCCCTTCATTTCACTTCCTAAAACTTACCTCATTTAAAACTGGTGTGTCTTTCTTTAAAACAGTCCTTTCTGTTTTTCTGACCTTGGGAATGCTGCCCTGAGGTCACCTGGAATGCTCTGCCCCCCCCCACCTGCTATTCATATGCCTTCAAGGCCCAGCTCAAGCCCAACCTCTTTGATGAAGGCCTTCCTTCCACAACTCTGCTAGCTTTCCATAACTCTCTAAACTGCCCATTAGCATGAATAGTTACAGAAACCAAATATATGCTGCCTTATTCCATTTCCAAAGTATAACCAGGATCTTGGGAACTAAACTGTTAGTTCCTCTAGGTAAAGACCTACCACAGGGCAAGGCACAAAAGAGGTGCTCAGTGAACAGGATGATAAGATCACACACTTTGCACTAGAATTAGCCCTAATATTAGCCCAAATCCTGTCATTTTACAAAGGATGTAACTGAGGCCCAGAGAGGGGAATGAACTCGTCTGAGGACACACCAGTAATAAGCCAAAGAGCCAAGTTTTGAATCCATGTATTCCTACTACCAATCCAGTGTTCTTTCCACTATATTCCATGGACACACATTGATTACTTGAATGCCCACTTCATGCACCTACAGGTTGGACAACATCCATACTATCAAATCATTGGTGGTACCACAGTATAGTGTATATAGTATGTCCCATTTCCCTGTAAAGGAACAGGACAGTGAAAGAGGAAGGTATAAGTTGGTTTGGGTTCTGTTAAAAAGCAGAAAATGTTAGCATGGCAAAGAAACCTGTAATTGTAGTGAGGAATACCCTCCACCTGAGAGAAAGAAGAATGACCTTCATCTTACCTGGAAGTCAGACCCATGCTCTTTGCCCAGAACTTCCTTGGGGGAATCCTGGGCCCCTGGGGTTGGCAGAGAGGAGGTTTCCGTAGACTCTTTCAGAGAGTCCCCAATGCTATCTACTTTCCTCATGAAGGTGTTCAGCTCCTGTTGCAGAAGCCCAAGCCTCACGAAGATAACATTGATAAGTTTGGAATCACTGGGGCTCTCGCTGTTATCCAGGGACTCATTCAACATGAGGTCTGCACAATCATTGTCCAGGCATAGCTTGAGGCTAGATATGAAGCCATTGGCATCTGAAATTAATACATCGATAGCTTTGCTGACCAGAGCAGCCTGGTCCCTGATGCTAGGCAAAGCCTCCAGGTCTCTGGTTTTAAAGAGCTTGGTGAGGTGGGGGTCAGGTAGCTTTGTGACGCCATTGTCCACTGTCCGCTCAGGGTGGCCTAGAGTATCGTTCTCTCCCCCGATGGGCACTTCCCTCCAGAGGGTGGTGGGGATGCACTGGGCAGAATCCCCAGCCTCAGCATCTGTCTCAAGCATGGGCCGCACGGTCTGACAAGAGGCCAGGTCGCAGCGCTGCAGGTTGGAGAGCAGGACCCGGTTCTCATACTGCAACTTCTTTACCTTCCCACTGAGCTCACTGATCTGGATCTTGGCAGTGGCCAGCTCCTCCTGAGATGGCTCACTGATCACCGAGCAGCTGTCTTCGGACAAGGTGACGTCCAAGTCATGTTCTGACTTGTACTTGTTCAGCTCATTCATGAGAAGTTTGTTCTGGTCTTCCAACTCAGCAGATGACCTCCTCAGGAGCTCGGCTTCCTCCTCCACAAACTGAAGGTGTCTCCTCAGCTCAGCCAGGCTCTCCCCAGACTCCCCACCACAGTTTGTGGAAGAAAAAGCAAATCGTATGTCAGGGCCAATGTAGTCCTTGTCACCCTGCCCTTTCGTGTCTTCCATCTCCGCCCTCAGCCCCCGATTTTCAACCTCAAGCTCAACGATCCTGCGGCTCAAGATGTTGGCCTCTTCTTCCACCAGCTTCAGATGTACCTTCAACTCAGCCTCCCTCGAATGAGGTGAGTCAGCCAGCTCCTCCACAGACAAGGAGCTGTCCAAGTCCCCGTACAGAGACCGGTATTTGACCAGCTCCTCCTTCATGCTGTCATTTTCCTTAGCTAATTTAGTGAGCTTCTTGCACATCAGGGCTGACTCTTCCTTGGCAAAGTGCAACTGACACTTCAGATCTGCGTTGTCCTCCTAAGAGCCAGAAACAGACATAGAATTAAAATAAAAAACCCAAGAATGTTACCAGTAGAACCATGTTTGGCTTGGTGGCCTACTGTCTCATGTCCTGACCTGCCTGAGTTATGGGACCTAAGGCAAGTCGCTTTGTCTCATTTTTCTCATCTGTAAAATGGGGATAATAACATTTTCTGCCTTCACTACAGGGTGGTTGGGGCAATTAAAAAACACTGAGACAATTTGTTTAGTACTTTTCTAATGCTCCTTTGAGTTTATTTTATCAAATGCACAAGTTATCTCCCATAGCTGGACTGTTCCCCATCCACCTTTGCCTCTGGAACTCCTCAATCCCTTTGAGACTTGACTTGTACAGCCTCCACCAAGAGCACTTTCCTGATCTCCCCAGGGGTTGGTTCCCCTGAACCTATCACCGTCCATTTATCTTGCATATACTGTGTATTCATTTACTTATGAAGATGTTGCATCTTCTACCCTCACCCCCAGCAGAATGTAATCTCAGAGGGCAAGGACCAGATTGTTTTTGTACAGTCAGTCCTGTTGTAATGCATATTTCAAAAATGCCATCTTGTTCCAATGTGATAGATATATTTGGGAACATTTTGAGCATAATTTGAAACAATGAGAATGAAGAGAACTACAGCACTCCACAACAACTCACAAGCTGTAACCCTTCTGAGGCCTGCTTCCACATGCAAACTTTAGGTCTTTATCAAGATAATTGGCCATATTTGCTATATATCATCTGGTGCAGTAGGAGGTGGTCTGAGCCACCCCCGCCCTCACCCTCTTCCACCATGCCCAGAGTATTTGGTCGGCCCAACTTGCTTGTGTAGCCCAGGTACAAGCCAAGCAGCAGCCCAAGGCCACAGAAATGGCCATTATTTATTGGAGTATTTATATATTCCGTAACTTTTAACATGTATGTAAAATTGTGCTACTGGTTTTCATTACATTCTTATCATTTTTTTAATGTGTCACTCATGAAGTTTTTAAGTATCGTATTCCTAAACTCATTTCTCCCATAAAATCTGTGGTTTTTACTGCTTGGTTTTGCATAGCTCAGGGTTTTCTAGGAACATATATGTTGAATTATAGCAGAACTGACCATATTTGTATCCTGAGTACATAGGACATAGTAGACACTTGATAAATTATTAAATTATTAGCATTATTAAAATTCAAATAACTCCCAGTCTACATCTCTAGCCCTAAATCTCTCCTGAAATCCACTCTGTTATCACATTTGTTATAGATATCTTGACAGATCTTTTACAGTTTTTCATTTCTTTGTTGTCCTCCTTCCAGTTTTATCCTTAAATGCTCTCAGAGGGTGACCTGACTTAGCTGGGTCTCTCAGGGATGACCTGATTTAACTGAATATCGTCATCACCATACTTTCTATAAATTGTTTTCTTCCCTCAATCACATTTCACTATTTTATGAGGCATAATCTTCCATAACTCTTCTCTAAGATTTTATAAACAAGCTAATACTCTAAATTGATGTCCTTGGCTGCCATAGTTCTATGCCTGGTAAGATGATTGTTTGTTTTTGCTGTTTACTGACTGAGTAGTTGATAGGCCTTTATGACCTCTTTGTGACTTGGGGGAGGGGAGGGGTAAGGAAAAACCTGTAATTTCATTAGAATTTCCAGTGAGGAAACTCCCCTACAAAAGTAGATTGTTTCCTATTCTGTAACTTACAGCATTAGAAAGTTACCTGGGCCATTGAGAGGTTAAGTGTTCAGGGTCACACATCCTGTATGTCTCAGATAAGGAACTTAAAGCCTACGTTTTCCTGACCTGGATGCCATCTCTTTATCTATACACAACATGATCTTATACTCAAAATCATATGGAGCTGCTGGGACTTGAACCCAGTTATGTAATTGAAATGGTCCCTATAGAGACAAGACTATAAAAGGAGCAAAATGAGGCAAGAGCATGGATAATGGGAGAAAAGGGAGGGGCAGAAAGACTGTAGATCTGAATGAGGATGAAGAATAATTTAGGAAGAATGAGGCAGATGGAGAGATCAAAGGGCAGGAAGAGAACTTCAGAGCTCAAGAGCAAGGAGAGAGCACAGTTCTGGGTATGGTCTAAGATGTATCCTCTCTCCTGGATGATTAAGGTGGAGCCAAGGTCAAAGTGTTGGAGTCAAGGAGGTGGACGGAAGGCCAGGGTGCTAAAGGGGACATGACACTTTCTGTTTCCTGGCACCTACGGAATCCTGCTTCCTTCTGGTGGACAGCTCATCCTTCTTCATTTTGGGTGGCTCCTACTTTCAGGTCCCTTGACAAACTAAGCCAGTAAGAGAGATAAGTTTTCAGACCTTCCTCCCACAATCACTAGGCAGCATCTGAAGGTGCTGGTATCTAATTATATCACTTTGACATGATCTTTGTTGCTGTAATCTACTGTCCTCCCAATCATATACCCTCTTTTCTCAAAGGGTTTAGTACCTGACTCAGTCTTCCTTTCAAATCCAACCCCATGCCTGTATATTTAGGAACTTCAGTATTTAAGTACCAGAAGTAGAAAATGTGGGAAAGGACTTGGTTAGATAGGAGTCCTCTAATGATAGTGCAGGGGTTCCAGAGGATACGATGGAAGGAGGATGGAAAGTAGAAAATGGCAGGACTGAGTTAGATAGTGAATGGGAAGGAGAAGGAAGGGAAGAGGAGTTTCAAGGCAGTGACTCTAAATCACTGGGATCACTAAAGGAGAAGAGGATGTACAAGTCTGTTGTCATTGGACTGGAGAAGTGCCTTCCCAAGATCTCAAAGCAGGCTAGGCCAATGGGTGAATTCGGTAGCTTTGCCTCTGTGGCCTTTACTGTACGAAGCCAGTTTAGACTGTCTGTCAAACCTTCTAGACCCCATATCCCTGTTAGCAAAGGCTATGGGGAAACTCTCTGTAGGCTCTGAAGTGCCAAGCCTGAAGTACTTAGGACTCACTTCCTCCAGGAAGCCTTCCCATGAACCTTCACCTCAAAATGTTGACTTCTCAGTTTTGCATTCCTAGGCCCTCAGCTACAGTTTGCACTGTGGCTATTTCTTTGCATTCTTAGTTGTTCCCTCTAAGTTTGTCATCTTATTAAAAGGTAAACTTCTTGAGGTCAAGGCCCCAAGGCTTCTTAGATAAACAGGTAATTTTTTTAGGGACCAAGGGGAAATAGAGTAAGCTAGGTAGTCATTCCATGCCTGGATTCTCTGGGCACCTCTGAAGTTCCCTACGTCCAAACACTGTACCACTCATGACTTGTCTCCCTATTGATTTTAATTTAACAAGCATTTATTTAGCACCTACCATACATAAGCCCAAGTCCTTGATGCTAGGAATCTAAAGACAAAAAAGCTAAAACAATCCTTAGCCTTAAGGAGCTAATAGTCTACTGGGGGAAACAACACACATAGATTATTAAATGTAATGCCTAGCAAAGTCCAAGTCTTCTTTTATCTGCCTCAGGGCACCTAGCATACAGCAGGCACTTAAAATTGATAAATTAATAAGTTCATCCAAGCGGCCTAAAGGTCACGAGCTCCTTCCATTCAGTCATTCATCCTTTCATTCATTCAACTGCTATGTATGTTAAAAAATTCTGTTTATCCCAGAAAAAAAATCTGGAAATATGTGCGTGGGTTGACAGCATAAGAAGCCCAAAGCTTCAGCCAGTGATGACTTTAGGCCTTTCCTCCCCTCCATCTTGCTAAGCATAAGTACTTCAGTCCACCAGAATTTTCTGGAGCACAGAAGGACTGAAGGGTACAGTGAAGGAACACTGGTTTTAGAGTCAGACCACTTGTTTGGATTTGTATCCGGATTTTGCCACTTACTATGTGACCTTAAGGAGTCATTCCTCCTCTCTGGACTTGTTTTCTCTTCTGTAAAAATGAAAGGGTTGGGCTAATTGACCTTCAGATTCCCTTCTAGTTCCAAATCTTTGGAACTCAGGAGGCTTAGGTTCTAGTACCCACTCTTTCACTACCTTACAATATAACCTTGGGTAAGTCTCTCCAGACCTCAGTTTCCTTATCTGTGATATGAAAAGCCTGGCTTGTAATCTCTCAGATTCCTCTCAACTCATCCTCTTTAGGAGTCAACATCTTTATATAACAAGTCCAAGCATCCTGCCTGACATGGACCTCTTCCCATAGTTAGCATTAAGTCCATAGGATCAGAGATGAGGGTTGAAAGGGTCCTTAGAAGTCATCCAACCCAAACCTATCCTTGAGGAATCCCCTACAGGGGATGAGGAAACCAAAGTCCAAAGAGACTAGGTGATTTGTTCCAGGTCGTACAGGTAGTAAGTGGCAGAGCCTGAATCTGAACCCCAGTCCTCTTATTCCAAGTCCAACACTCATTCCACTGAATGTGTTAAGGAGTAGTAGGGGGCTCCCCTCCCCAGCAAGGATGACAGTGGAGGGGGAAAAGAGACTCTTTGATTTGGGGAAAACTAAAGTGGAAAAGGCTTCTTATTTGAAGAGGGGCTAGCTAAGGAGCAGAATTAGTGGAAGGCCATAGAGTAAACATTAGGAAAAGAGAAGATAATTGAAAGGAATCTCAGAGAAACATGTTTTAGGAGATGCTTCCAGACCTTAGAGGGTACCAAGACTGTTTTGAAAGACAAGATCCAAAAGTGAACAGAAGCCTCAAAAGAAAACCTGGTTGGAAGGTGTCAGTCCTGGCCTGCTGTCAGCTCTGGATGTCAGAAATGAGTCAGTCAAAGCCTCAGTCACGTCCTTGATAATTAATTCTGGGCCCCCATATGCCAGTCACAACATGAAGCAGCCTGATAAAAATGAAAAACTTGCTAATGCCTTAGAGCACAGTCTTATCGCTCCCTTTCACTGGTCAGCTTCTATTAAACATTTTTACTTTATATTTTATTCATGGCAACAGCATCTATTGCATTTAAAAAACAGCAATGAATGGGAGAAATTTGGTGTGCCTGTAGGACCTATATCTGCTTATTTATTATACTGAGTCACACTGCATATCTTGTTAATAGAAAAGGCAAAACAAAAATGGCAATCATTCACATACACATGGGCTCCCGGGGCTTCCCAAGGATCCTGAACACACAGGATGGAACCTCTAGACTGCTAATGCCCAAGGTCCCTTCCATCTCAAGATCCTGCTAGTCACCACACAGGCAATTGTGTCCCAGCCAGAGAGATCACGGAACAGTGGTGTTTTATAGGACCGTGGGATCTAGAGCTAAAAGGGTCATGAGGGATCAAGTCCTCCCCCTGCATTTGACTGATGAGGAAAATGAGGCCCACAGAGAAATCAAGAGACGTGAAGAATACCATACCTTGCATGTATAATAACAAAAGCAACTTGTTTCTATAGGGCTTTACGGTAGTACAGTCATTATCTGCATCTTATAGATAATTAACTGAGACTCAGAGAATTTTAATGATTTGTCCATGATTACACAGTTAGTAATTATCGGAGCTAAGGTCTCCTTTCACTAAGTCTGGGACTCTTTCCAATACAACACAGTTTATATATTACTAACATGTATGTGATATGCATGTTAATAATTTATAATATAATAATTTACATTATATAAATGTACATTTGAACAATACCATTTAATACTTCCATATGCCTTTTGACTTTTCAAAGGGCTTCAGTGTCCCCTATCTCATTTAATCCTCACAACAACCATGTGAGATAGACAGGATAGGGGTTTTTGTTGTTGTTCAGTTGTTTCAGTCATGCCTAACTCTTCATGACCCCATTTGGGCAAAGATACTAAAGAGGTTTGCCATTTCCTTCTCTAGCTCATTTTACAGATGAGGAAACTGAGGCAAAGAGTGTTATGTCACTTGCTCAGGGTCACACAGCTAGGAAGTGTCTGAGACCAATTTCAAACTCGGGTCTTCCTGACTCCAGGCCCAATGTTCTATCCACTGAGCTATCTAGTTCCTCCAGGATAAAGATTATTGCCCCCATTTCATTGATAAGGAAACTGAGGCAGGTCATACAAGTCAGTGTCATACATCAATTCAGTGACAGTCAGATCTAGAAACCAGATCTCTTGACAAATCAACAATTACATCTATGTATGCATTCAATGAGCTATAAGAGATGAAAGAATAACTAAGACCTAAGCTTGCCCTAAAGGAACTTAAAATTTCACATAGGCAACAACTTGATTTTTTTATATCAAGTTACAGAGTAGGTATAGAACAAGGAGAGGGTTAGCAGGGTCTCCTGTTCATCTTTCCTCTCCTGTCTGAAAACGTCTTCCATTCAGCTGCCTGCGGCCTAGGACCAGAAATCCCAAGGCTTCCTCCCTTCCCCACCAAACATGACAATGCTGTCTGTTCCCTCTCCTTTTGCTTCCAAATTGAACAGCTGGCCAGGGATTATCCTAGTCATTAAAGGACCACCATGAAGGGAAAAGGCAACTGTTTGTATCTTGTTTGTCTCCCTTGTATGGTACTTACCCAGCTAATCTGACAGCACAATCTAAAACCACTCTTAGTTGCCTTAAATAAACTTGGAGCTTCTTGAGGGCCAGGCCATCAAAATCTTCTACTTCCTTGTGGGTGCCATAATACCTAGCATGTGACCTGGCATGTGCCAGGGCTCAAAAAGTACATGTTGGATGGCTCCTAAGAACGTAGGAGCAGGGGTTTTAGAAATGGATGATCCTCAGAGTTCCATTTAGAGCAGGACTTCTTTACTTGGGGGTCTGTGGGGTCCATGGATAGATTTTAAAGGGACTGTGAACTTGGTTGGGAAAAAAAATTCCATCTTTATTTTCACTAACCTTTGGCTTCTTTTGTAATCTTATATTTATTCTATGCACTTAAGTAAAGTATTCTGAGAAAGGGTTCCCAAGCTTTTACCAGACTGCCCAAGGGGTCCATCTGTGACACACAAAAAGGCTAAGAATCCCTGGTTAGAGCAACCTCCTATTATAGATGAGGGATTTGAAGCAGAGGATGATCTGCCCAAGGTCATATGGGCAGTAATGTGGCAGAGGTAGAAAATGAACCTAGGTCCTCTGCTTCCAAATCCAGTTGTCTTTACATAACAGAATTAGAATTTTTTTTTTTTACAACTGAAAGCTATAAAGCTCACCATCCTTACTTTACAAAAGAGGCTTAGTTTCTGAAAGGGACTGGTCCAAAATCAGAGCTTTTAGTGACAGAGATAGACAACCCAGGTCTCTTAACTCTTAGTTTAGTAATTATTGCTGGACTATGCGTGAATAAATGAATACGTGAACAAACAAATTAATACTGAACACCCATTGCATCTAGAACACTATGATGATTGTTAAGGGAAAATACAAAAAAAAAGTGCAAACAAAAACTCGCAAACCCAACCCACTATACTCCTAACAAAAAAACCCCTTGCTCTTAAATGAGTTTAGTTAGGCTAATGGACCCACAACCAACACGTTCAGCATTTCTATGCTGTGACCAATGGTGCAACTGGGTGAGTACAAGGGGAAAGGAAGTGTACTGGATGCAATATTAGAAGGGATGCAGACAGGCCTGTCTCCAGCTCAGGTCCAACCCCTTCATTGGTATCACCATGATGGTACCCATGAAGAAAGAGAAGGAAAGGAATAAGTATTTATGTGGTGCCTGCTATGTGCCAGCTACCGTGCTAAGCTCTTTCTCTTTATTATCTCATGACCCTCACGACAACCCTGGCAGGTGAGTCTTTTATTATTTACAGTTAAGGAAACTGAGGCAAATAGAAGTCAAGTGACTTGCCCAGGATCACATAGCTGGTAGGTATCTGAGGCTGGATTTTATCTCAGGTCTTCCTGACTCCAGAACCAACTTAGCTGCCTCTAACCATGCTGAGGGAAGGGGTGAAATCTATTATTTCTGTGACATCACCCCTACCCTTTAACAATGACCCTCATACCGTGGGTATTCAACAAATATCTTAAACATATTCCTTTTAAAAGTGAGTTTTAGGGGGCAGCTAGTGCAGTGGAGAGAGTATCAACCTTGGAGTTTCCTAACCAAACCTGAGCTCAAATCTGGCCTCAGACACCATCTAGCTGTGTAACCCTGGGCAAGTCTCTTAATCCTGCTTGCCTCCACAAAAAGGGGGGGGCAGTCTTAATGGGAAAGAGTTACCTTCCTGGGACTTAGTTTCCTAAGCCTTTTTGTGGAATGGGACAGATAAAAACAGTGCATTTGCAACTAAGGAAACACTGACACAAAGAAGGAAAAAAGAGAAAGAGAGAAGCTGACAGTGGACAGAATTTCATAATCACACCTCTGCCATCAGATTTTTAAATCACGCTTTCTTGGACTCTAGATAAATACCTGGACTGATGCCTTTTTTTCTGTTTTTCCAAGTGAACGAGTTCCTCTTTTCTTCAAGGAATGCTGGAAGGAGATAAAAAGGGAACATTGATGAAGCTCTCAGATTGTGAAGTAGTGTTTATAAAATACCCACAGATGGCCAATTCTGGGCAAACATATACAATTGTTACCTCCACCCTCCCGCAGCTCTTGCCTTAAAAAAATCAGATCATGTCAGAGCTAGAGCATTGAATGTCATGGCTAGGAAGGGCCTTAGAACACTGAATGTCTAAGCAGGAAGAGTCCTTGGAGATTCAGTGCAGCATCCTTATTTTACAGACGAGAAAACTGTGGATCACAGAGGAGAAGGATTTGCTCAAAGTCATATAACCACTGACTGGCAGAACCAGGAAGAGAACCTGGGCATCTATCATACCACACTGCCTCTATTCCAGCCAAATTACAGACATGCTAATATACTGAAAAGGCCTTATTCTTTGTGAAGGATTCTTGTTTCTTAGTAGAAGCAGAGGTTAACAGGCTGATCCAAATCTTAGTCTGAAGGGAAGGCGTTTGCAACACTCCAGAAAGTGGAAGGGCTCCCACACCAGTGGAAATAATAATTTTTATACTGTTTAGCCAGAGGTGACTGAAAATTGTGAAGTCTCAGGAGAGTCTCTTAGTCAAGTCTTTTTTCTCTCATCTTTCCTCTTCTGTCGCCTCCACTTTTTTTTTTGTAAAAGAAATTCTTAACTTTTTATTCCTTTGTTTTTCATTATAATCATAATATTATTCTGTAGCACTTTACAGTTTACAAAGCACTTTCGTCATAAGGAATCTTTTGAGGTTGGCAGTGTAAGTATGTATCATCACCTCCTTTTACAGATGCAGAAACTACGACTCAGAAAACTCAAACGACCAGTGGATGGCCATATAGCTAGTAAGCAGCAGAGACAATGCAAATTCATGTCCTTGGACTTCCATCCCAGTACATTCACAGGTACATCCAGGACTGTAATATATACATGATTTTTTCTTCAAATCTATTTCAAAAACCAGTCAGTTACTGGTGTTTGGTGATTAAGGTCTAAGTTAGAATTGGTATAGTACAAAATGAAATAGCTTATATAAAGCACTTTGCAAATTTGAATCCATTATCCCCACCCACACAGTGTAGGTGGCTTATCCTATAATCTTTATTAAAAATAAAAACTCTGTCATCACCCAGCCCTTCCAGACTGACATAGTAACCTATACCCCCTCACACTCAATGAGTCTCTCTTTAAGCTTTACTAAGACTCTCCCGTGTTTGTGGGGAAATCAATGGAAATTGAGGGTGAATTCAGACTTATATGAGGCAATCATGAATTTCACCCAATTGGACTTTAGATGGAGGTAGAAGGAGGTTTGGGAGGAGACAAGCTGTTGAAAGAGTAGGGGTTCAAGACCATTTGAATGAAATGGGATCATTATCAGTGAAACAGTATGAAAGGCACGCTGGGCCAGGAATCAGAAGAGCCCTGGACTCAGACCTTGATCCCAACATTTACTAGCTATATACCTATGGACAAGTCACTTAACTTCTGTAAGCCTCAGTTTCCTCTTCTGTAAAATGAAGACAACGGAATTTATATAGCAAGGTTTACAAAGCAAGTTACTAGCATTATCTTATTTGATCCTCTCAACAACCCTGGGTGATAAGTGTTATTATTCTCCCCCCATTTTATAGATAAGGTAACTGAGACATAAAGAAATTAAGTGACTTGTTCAGGGTCACACAGCTAGGTTCTAAGGCTTGAATTTGAAGTCAGGTCTTTCTGCCTCAAGGTCCAGTGCTCTACTTACTTCCATCACCCTGTAGCCCCAGTAATTCTTCTAGCAACTTCTTTATCGTTTGAGGGAATGATCAGATGGGAAGATGCATGTAAAACACTGGCATACCTCAAAGCAATATATAAATGTCAGTTATTATTGTAAAATCACCGCCCTCCGTCATCACTTTAGCTGCCCCCCGGGGGCATGGTGGTTCAGCCACAAGAGTGAGATGAGGTCATGAAGAGAACTTGGACCCAGGAGACAGAAGGCTTGGGTTTCAGCCCCAGTCTGACTCTTCTCAGCTGTGTGACCTTGAGTAAGTCATTTAACCTTGATGAGGCAGTGACTTGAGTACTCTTGGAATTATCTAGAGTACAGAGAAGTTAAATGACTTCCCCGGGTCACAGAGACAACACTGGCTTAACCCCAGGGGACTGTGGCTGAAGACAGCTCTCAACCCGTGACACCAATCTGCCTGTCACAAGCTACTTTACTACCCTGGACAAATTATTTAATCTTTCTGGGTCTCAGTTTCCACCAAAAATAAAGGGATGGGGATAGCCGATCTCTAAGGTCATTCCAAATCTAAATCCTATGGTTCTGAGGGCCTCAGTTTCCTTACTTAAACAACTTCTATTTGTCATTCAAAGCCCATCAGACTCTGGCCCCTTCCTACCTTTTGCATACACTTTATCTTCCCTTCCCCCCACCCCAATACTCTGCCATGCAGTGATAATGGCTTACCTGCTGTTCTTTGAAGTTGATGCCCCAACTCCTGCCTTCATGCATTTTCACTGCCTGTTCCCCACGCCTAGAATGTTCTCCCCCCTCATCTCCCAGCCTCCTGGCTTCTCTGGCTTCCTTCAAGTCTCAGCTAAAGTTTCTGTAAGAAATCTTTTCCAGTCCTCCTTAATCTTGGTGCCCTCTCTTTAAGAGTACCCCCAATTTATCACCCCTACCTATCTAGGGTGGTTAGGTGGTGCTGTGGATAGAGTACTGGCCCTGTGGTCAGGAAGATGCATCTTCCTGAGTTCAAATCTGACCTGGATCAGTTACTAGCTGTGTGACCCTGGGCAAGTCACTTTACCCTGTTTGCCTCAGTTTCCTCATCTGCAAAATGAGCTAGAGAAGGAAATGGCAAACCACCCCAGTATCTCTGCCAAGAAATGACTGAACAACAACGACATCTGTCTATGCCTTTTTTGTACGCGGTTGTTTGTGTCCCGTCTCTCCTGTTGGATTGTAGGCTCCTTTAGGGCAAGGAATGTTTTTGGGTTATCCTTTTTTGAGTTTTGTTTGTTCATTTGTCTGTTTTGCCTTTTATTGTAGCCCCGGTGCTTAACACTGTGCCTGGCCCAGGTAGGTTCATTTTATTGATTGATTGACAATAGAGATAATAACACTTGAATCGCATAGTTAAAGGGTTGTAGTGAATATTACAAATGAGATGACTGTATGGAAAATGCTTTGCAGATTCTTGAAATCCTATCTGTATATAATCCATTATTCTACTTAAGTCAGGAGAAATAGGTGTTCAGATCTTACCTCGAATACTTATTAGCTGTGAAACACTGGCAATGTAACCTCTCTGAGCTTCAGTTTCCACATCTATAAAATGGGCATAATAATGCCTATAGTATCTACTGTGAGGATACAGTGTAATAATGTACATAAGATCAAGTTTCTGATAAAGTGTAGGGAGCTCTATAAACATCAGTTATTTTTCTGGAATACAAAGAGCTTTCTCTTTATAGAGGCTGCATTAATACTCGCTGTCTGTTTTTAGGGCTGGCTCCAGACCTTATTAAAGGACTGGTCCAGTTTCCTTTGTTTTTGCTGCAGGGCAGGGGACAGGAACTCATATGAGGAGGTGGGGAGGAGGAAGAGGCCTACCTCCTTTCTCCAGGCTGGCAGACATTGTGGCAGTGTGATTCCTAATCCATTTGTAATTGCTGCTGTCAGATGCTAAATGGTACTTTGGGGACTGTGGAAGAGTCAGAAATAAAAGCTGTACCAGCCTGGATTTTTGCCCGGCTCCCCACCCTAACCAGAGCCCACAGAAAGGACTAAGGAGGCTTGGCACCCTGAAGGACATTCTTCACCCACCACCTTTTTCAGAGACTCATTTCCACAAGGTTGGTTTTGTTCTTTGTAAACAGGAGTCCTGCAGGGAAGAATGCTAGTTCTCGGGCTCTAGGGCCAGGGTAACAGCAGGTAGCCAGCCCTCAAGGCAAGAACTACTTCCTGATGGCCTGCTGGGAGCTGGCCCTGTGCTAAGCACTCAGGAGATTTTTGAGAAATAATTTTAAAAAAATCAAAACAACTACAATAGTCGCCAATTGTATGGAGCATTCAGGTTTCAAAGTGCTTTTGTTACAACTGTCATATTAGAGGGAGAATGCAAATATCATCAATCCTATTTTACAGATAAAGACATCAAGGCTCAGAGAGATTATTACATGAATTACCAAAGGTCACCAAATCTCAGAGTTGGAAAAGAACACTGAGGCTCTCTGTGTCAACCCATACCTGAAAAGGCCCCTCTCAAAACATATCCAGCCTGTACTGTAAGACAGCCATCAGGAGTGGAAACACTACTTCCCAATACAGCCCATTTGACTTTTGCACAGCTCTAAATGTTAGGAAGTTTTTCCTTCAGATGAGGCTAAATCTGTCTCTCTCAGCAGTTTCCACTCATTGTCCCTAGTTTTGCTTTTTGGAGACCAGCAAAACAAGTTTCACTCTTTCAAATGACAGCTTTTCAAATACTTGAAGACCACTATCCTATCCTCCCAATGTTTCTCTTCATCAGGCTACCCCTTCCTCAAATTCATCATCATCATCATCATCATCATCATCACTAACATTAATATGGTACTTTAAAAGTGTGCAAAGCACTTTATAGATACCTCATTTTATTCTCCCCAAACCTTGGGAGGTAGTTGCTATTATTATCTCAGAGGAAACTGAGGCAGTCAAGAGTTAGGTGACTTGCTCAAGGTCACCTAGCTAATAAGTATCTCAAGCTGGATTTGAATTCAGGTCTTCCTGACTCCAGGCCCACTGTTCAATCCACTGCACCATATAGCTGCATCATATGGTATAACCTCATTCACCAGCGTGGTTGCTCTCTCCAGCTTATGAATATGCTTCTTTCCATGTGGCATTAAGAACTGAGCATAATATTGCAGACATGGTCTCACTATGCCAGGCTGCAAAGGGACTATCTGCCTAAGCTACCTTGGTCTGGAAGCCATGCCTGTCTTAAT